GTACTTTTATTTATATTATGTATGTCGTATTAGTAACATCAATAGTCATACGCCCCAATTCCTGAGAGAGAACTTTCAGAAGATGAATTTCCTGCGGATAATTTTTTTTATTTTCTAGGTTTAGATATATTTTGATAAAATGTTTAGGACTTCGTACGACTTTACATACCTATTTTATTATAGATTTATAGTACTTTACATTAAACCCAGTAGATCTAAGTTGTCAATTCCAGGCTAATCGGACAAAAAGTCCTAATTTAAATACCGTATTATTTTATACAGAAATATATATCAATGAAAAAAATTCCATTAACCCTATAAGTTAAAAAAAATCCTTCCAATAATCTTTGAATGTAGTTGTATTAAATTACAAAAAGCCAATAAAACCGACAACAACAACAAAATCACAATAACAACTCCAGTCAGTCAGCAAACCAGCCATCCAGCAAGCAATCAATTGCAGCAATGGTTTTCTTCCCCATGCACCACTACCAGCATCACATCCCTTTCATTTAGACATTCATCAATGCCAGCATCTGTTTGTGTCTCTATTTGAAATTCTGGTTAATGTGGGCGATGATAATAATCCGAAGAGGGAGAGCGAGTGAAAAAAAGAGAGCAACGCACACAAAAAAAGAAAAATAAAGGGAAAAAATATTAAAATAAACCCTCAAGTAAAGTTACCATGGAAGGATTTATCGCTTGTTTTGACTGACTGTCTTATTGGCTGAATGGCGGTGGGGACATACAATTTATGTGGTGGGCCCAGTTTTTGTTCATGGGCAGTGTGTAATTCAATAATATCATGTTTTGTATGAAATTTTTGTTGGGAAATAATACACAAGATTTAAAGAAGGGAAAAAAATAAAAAAAATTGAAAAATAATTCTATTGTCTATAGAATTGTGTAATATGCAACGTTTTCATAACATAACATATTATTTGCAAATATTTGTTTAATTTTTCGAGGCATAATTTTAGGCTTAGTATTCAAATATTTCCCATTGCAGCTAATTTCATTGATAAACATCCAAGATATTGGAAAGAGAGGATCGAAAGAATTGATATTGCTCTAATTTAACACTACCCCATTTTTATCAATAACATTTTATAATTTCCTATCATAACTAATATAAAAAATTAAATAAAAATAATTTAATAAAAATATAATTTTAGGCATTTTTTGCAGATAATATTAAAGAATGGGCTATTAGAACAAATTTAGTTCATTTGTGAAAAGATAATCTCTCTAATTGTATAAAAATACTATTTATACAATTACATATTTTACAATATTTTTTCTTATATATTTTCTTCTGTGTCAGATATTTTACATTGTAATGATTTTTGTAAATAAAAATGATTGAATGAAAATCATTTTTCATATAGCAGATGACGGTGTCTAAATAATGTATAAAATATGTTACAAAATTAAAGCTAAAATATGTGAAAAATATTTTTAGAACAATTGCAGGAAAATAATGTCCTTTTTAATTTCCTTATTTAATCTCCAAATACTCTCCCACGTGGCAACACTATCTGCAAGTTGTCCTTTAGACTAAAGACAAAGCTCTTTTATCTTATTAATTTCCATTTTGTGCAACTGAACGCCTACATTATTTTCTTTGTCACTTGCATTACACCTACACACCTATCCATATTGCCGAGGCAAGTTGCATGCTAACGTTGAGCCTGAAAGTATGCATTATTTTATTGTTAACTTTATCATAATTGCTTTAAATCAGATTACGACTTAAGTGTTACTTTCATTACATAAACAGACAATGAAACGGTTCTACACCAGCCTGACATTGACACGCACACTTAGTCTCGCACACGCACACACACAAACACACTTACAGGTGTATATAACATATACGCGTGTGTGTGGAACATGGAGGATATGTGTCTCTTTCGGTATATACAAGGATACATACAAGTAATGTGTTTAAATATGGCCTTATAGTTAATCCTTTACGTATATCAAAGCCAAAGAATGTTCTGCTCTAAAGATAGATGGCTTCTGCCTGCCTTTGACTTTTAATAGCAGCTACTTATACGGTGCCGACAATAAACGCCAGCCATTTTGACAAACCACCAACAACAAAAATTATGTTATGCCATAAAGTATGCAATATTTTATGACTTGTAGCTCTTGCTGCTTTGCCATAACCTCTACACCTCGTCTCGTCTCAGATGTTTGCGTTAATTTATTGCGGCTGCAAAGGTCTTACTTTTGTGAAATTTATATAGAATCTTTAAAAATATGCAAACAGGAAAAAATTGTTATCGATGCTGTTAATATTCTTGCCATTCATCCATCCATCCGTCTATCCAACCAAACGTCGATTTTTTTCTTGATAAAGCAATATACCTAAAAGTATGCACTGATTTTTTGTGGGAACATGCTGAAAGCATACTTTCAGGCATTTGTTATTCTTTTAATTTTATTTAAAGCAGTGCAATAAAAAATTATTGGTGGGCGTTGAATATGATTTTGGTTAAATGAAACTCACGGATTTTTTTACAGAGCAGGGAATTTAAGGAATGATGATTGCATTTTTATATTTCTTATCAACAGCATGGATTGATTGTTGAAAAACAAAATTACTGTTAAATTTTGTAATGAAAACACATGAGGTACATGTTAAATAAAATATCAAAACTGCAAGAGGCGAAGAACTTCCGGTTAAAAATACAGTAAAATCTCGCTAATCCGGATAATTGACTGCTGACCTTAATCCGGATTGCAAAATTTTATTCGGATTATAAAGGTATTAAATTGATTAAAATTTAATGATTGGAAAAATAATAATTTTTCACTAAAATTTTTATTGTCTATATATGTAGACAATAACATTCACCAACTGCAATATTCCCTAAATATCCTCTACACCACATAAATGTTTTATTTTATTTTTTTTTTTTTTTGTATTGTCATTCTATTCTTCTTGATACTTTTTCTTCTTATTTCTATGTCTGTTCAATTCGTTTCAATTCCCATTTCATTGCTTCATCTGTTGGTTTAAAACAACTTGTATTGCCAAGAAGAAGAGGAAAAAACCGAAAATACATTTTCTTACTTAACTATGGCAAAATGGTTAGCCAGAATGCCACTGTAAAAATATTGTGATTTTTTTCGGTTGTCCCATGATAGATATGTTACGAAAACCAAACTATTTGGGGAAATGAAAGTTAATTGAATTTTATATGAGGTTTTAATAAACCTGAAATGAGATTTTTTTTGGTATTCTACTTTTTACATTCTGGAAACATATTGAAAATTTTAAACAAAATATGTTTAAGAAAATAGATTTTAAAACATTGTTTTGGGAGTATGTAAAATTTGGGTACACACAATGAAAAATTCAAGGGAAATGTTAATATTAAAGCCGATTTTTAAGTTTCGCGAATATTTACTTTTAATTTTAAAACATTCCTAAGTTTATAAGGTTTAGATTTCTAAGTTTATGGTTTAGATTAAAATTTATGACGAATCGCAATTTTTTATTAAAAATCTGTATCTGAAAATAGGATGCAATCATCATTTCCCTTCTAGTTACACCTTTAAATCTCATTATCTGTACCCAACTGAAAGAATATTTATTTCATTCCCATAACTTAATTTACCACCGCCAACACGACTAAATTTAGCTTTTAAAAAGTAATTTTCTGCCCATTAAAAAAAGACAACAAAACAGACCAAAGTACGCCTCCGCCCAATTGTTCGTCTGTTTATGTGGAAAACATGTTAAGGTTCATAAATTATTTCCCAACACAAAACAAGGTATGATGTTTATTTCCCTGCAGATACTATTGTCCCACACTAAAATATTTTAGAGGACTTGAAAGAAAGGAAAACGAATCACCACAAAAAAGTTTAAAGACCAAACCATAAATTGCACGCACGTACAATATCTTAATACAGCAAACTTGTACTCACGTAAAGGAAAATATAAACACCATTTGGTGATAAAAATAAAGTCACTTAAAATTAATGATGTCTGCCAATAACAGAGTGCCATATCTATTTGATTTTGAAAAAAAAAAATAGAAAATGAAGGCAACTACAAGTAGGCTAAATATAAATTGTGACTGTTTAATGTGGTAATAATTTACAACACATTTTTGACATATTTTCCTATTTGGGAGGAAAGGTTTGAGGGGAATAATAATGACCCTCCAGCCAAATACAGATATTTCTTTGAACTATTAACTACCATTTAATTCAGATTGACTTTTAGATCAATGATTCTCTCTCTCTCTTTTTGTTTAGAACACTCATGCACAAAATAGTCAGATAGCGGTGATGGCTAAACACTTATTCTCTTTTCATCAGTCATTTTTGACTATGATCTCTCAGTTACGCTCTCACAGACTTATTCTCAATTTTGCACTGTTCAACACTGATTTAGAACCATCAAATACGATTGGTGGAATTTTTCCTATAAAAATCTATCATTCCTTTCTCTATTACAATCAATCCTAATTAAATAATGTTTCTCTTCTTCTCTCTCTTTTTTTCAGCAACAAAACACATGATCAACACTAACTGTAACATTCCAAATATAAATAATTCAAAAGAGAGGCTACGAGTGACAATTTAAAATACATACCAAAGGTCATCAAATGTCTCTCTCAAATGAAGAACAGCAGAGCTAGAAGAAATATAAAAGAAAATAAACAAAATTAAATGTGTTTATCAACAAAAAGAATTAATATAACTAAATAAGAGATGTGACATGTTAATCCTTTACAAGCAATTAATGAGAGTGGAAGAGTAACAAACAAATTTATTTATAATAGTGAAAAGAACTTCAACTTAATCAAATGCCAAATGTTTACATTATCTAAGAGAGTGTAAAGTGTAAAATTCCAACCATAATCGCCTTTATAGACATAGAGACGGACGAATTTATTTCGTTCGTTCGTTGAAATAATTACATAGTCATCGTTGCCACAGTGGTCGTCTAGCCGTTTTCAGGCTAACAGAGTGTGGGGTATAAAACATGACTAAAAAGTACGAGTTCGATTGGATAATTCCGGTACCACCGGAATTAACAACTGGCTGTGTCTTCGATCGTTGGTTCGAAAATGAAAAGGAAACCAAAGATAATGACTTTGAAAAGGATGCCTTATTTAAAGTGGACGAATATGGTTTCTTTTTATATTGGAAAAGTGATGGAAGGGTAAGTGAAGTTTCTGTCACACAAATCAGAAATCGTTGAAATGACTTGTAAAAATCTGTTTGTTGTGTTGTTGTTATTGTTTTTTTCAGGAAGGAGATGTCATCGAATTATGTCAAGTCAGTGATATAAGAGCTGGTGGTGTACCTAAGGTAAGTAGCGGGAAATTAAGGGTTTTTGGTGAACAACCAATAAAAGCTTTTGTGTGGGTATTTGTTACCACCAGCAACAATTTAATTATGTAACTAACCTTTTCAATGTTAATTAACTTCCTTAAACTAATAAAGGAAACGAAGGGATGGGAGAAAGATACTTTATTTTGAAAATAATTACTTCCATGGGAGTATTATAAATATAATAATATTCTATGATTTAAAGAGAGGATAACTAAAATAAAGAAAATCATTAAAGAAATAAATAAAGTCTTATTAGCATGGGGGAAAATAATAAATAAATGAATCCGATTGGTTATAAGACTGTTCAAGGACTAAAAACATAATAAAAGGTTGTAGCTCTAAAATCGTGATTTTTTTTGTCACCATATATTAAAACATAAAATCCGGACAACATAACTTCGAACTTCGAACTACTTCGAATTTTAAACAATTTTTTTGAATATAATTTTTTAAGATATTCCGCAGTTTTTTCATTTACCATTTGCCCTTTAGGATTACGCTTGAATCAATTTACAACTAAATTGAATTATAGCAAACATATGATTTTTCCTTTAAACCCTCACCACCCTGACATGATTAAGATGCAATCAAAAATCTTAAAAAATAAACAGACAAAAAGATTCGTGTGTGTGTGTTTGTGTGCAAACAAATTTGCACTTAAATATCAACAATATTACTATCCATACTTTCTCATCATCGCCATGACGTTTCCAATGGTGAAAAACAATCCGACAATCCGAACATATGCAGCAAGTGCAGTTTCATCATTATCAATATTTCCTTCTTGCTTTCATACTTGCTTTAATCCTTACTAATATCAACCTTGATGTCATGCGAAAAGGAAATGCTAGAATTATTTACTTTGCCTTCTCCTACCCCCCAACCCCACTCCTTAGCACGTTCGTGCATTTCGTGTTCACTCAATATGTTACAGTTAATCTCATCACTGTTACGATGACACTTTATGAGAATTTTCCATTGGTTCCTCTGCTCGTTCGCTCTCTGTCTCTTACACGCACACACACACACACACACACACTCTCAAACACTCTACAGTCGTCATTTTGTCAACATTCAATACTTGTGATATGATGGCAATTTGTTGTTTTTATTTGATTTCCTGTTATTTTCCTAATAAAATATCCTCTTTTATTTAATGAACGTAGAGTTTCGTTGCATCTATGGCATTTCCGTTGATATTTGGTTCTATTTTTTAGAAAGAGAGGGAGAGAGAGATAGGAAGCAAATTGGGAAATAAACAAATATATTTCAAATTGGAAATAATTAAGTTTTAAAAGTCGTAGTCCTTCAGAATTTTAAATGGTGTCCTCGGTATTTGAGGCTATTTAAAGACAGAAACTTGCCGAAGCGATACAGTGAACAGGTGACGTATTAGTAATATATATCATTCATACGCCACTTTGTACAACAAGAGAATATATAAAATCTAAGATATTTTATAGTAGAGCAAAAGTTGTCCTCTGTCTTTGCTACAGAAGGAAAAGACTCGAGAGGTAGTTTTTTTCTGTAGAACAGACTGAGATTAAATAAAAACTTTCAGACCGATTGACATTTTCTGGGGACATTGACATTGAGGACTTTTAAAAATTTTTCCTCAAGACTGCGAAATTTTCCTGAAGAAACATTTTTCCAATGACTAAGGGCATCTAAAGAAATTCTAATAGTAAACTTTCTCATCTCTGTTGACTAATTGACAATGAAAAAATATATTTTCTCCTCATAAGTATTTTGTTAAATTGATTTTTTTTCTGTTTTCTATTTTCTAGGATCCGAAAATTCTCGATAAAGTCACAAAAAAATGTGGTGCAGATATGGCGGCCCTGGATAAAAAATCGTTAACAATATGTTCCAATACAGATTATATAAATATAACATATCATCATGTAGTGTGTCCGGATGCGGATACGGCAAAGGTAAATTGAAAAATGTTTCGTTTTTTTTTTTTGGAATTCAATAGCATAATGACCAACAAAAAAAAATAAATTTGAAACACTTATGGACACAATGTGTGACTAGCAATGAAAGCAATTTTGGCACTTTCCAAAGCAATCCAAAAAAATTGTTAACAAGTACTTTTTGGAAGAAAATTTCAAGTGCACACACAAAATATATAAAAAATCTTCAACTACAACAACAGTGAAAAAGAAAACTCCCAAGAAAAAGTTGTTAGTCAAAGTTATAGTTTTTACCCACATTAAATGAAATATAACTGAACAAAGGACCTGCTGCCATAATTTACTTTTACAAACTAACAATTTTTTGACAGCAGTTTTATACAATAAAAACAACAACATCAAATGTTCTTCATAACGCCATGGAAACTAGCGGCACAAAAATGCCACAAAACCCAAACCAAAAAGTAAAAAAGAACAACTGAAATCAAACAAAGATGGAATTGTGTGATGAAGAAGAAGAAAAAAAAAAGAGAAAAAACTCACATCACTCATAATTATTTTCAAACAATGAAATCTTTTCAAGGAAATGAATGGGGCGGAGGATTATTTTGAGAAACAAAGTTATGAAGAATATTATTTAAAATGGATTTAAGTTGATATGTGCCTTCAAATGTATTGAAAAGTTTTAATAGAATGTATCAACATCTTTTGAAATCGATATCAATCAAAAAGACGAGTCCCAATGAAAAATATGTGAAAGTTGAACGAACTTTGTGTTTACAAAATTTCATTTCAAAGATACAATTCGAAATTCTAAAATTAGATTAACCACCTTCAGATTTTTTAACAACATCCCTTGTGTTTTCTCTCTTTGTATTTCTCTTAGATTTGGTTACTAGGTTTACGCAAAATTACCCACAATGTTAAGGCCAATAATATATGTCCAATGATGTGTCTGAAAAAACAGTAAGTCCACGAAAAAATAAAAATAACAACATCAGCAACAACAAAAACTCGTTAGCACCACTAACCAGGGGGACATTTGTTTGTTTGTCTGTCCACCCACTAACGACCACTCACTTATAACCAATAAATATGCAAATGCGATTCATATTTCTGTTCTTAATGATTTTCAAGTTATTTGTGTTTCTTTTGCGTTCTATTATGTGTGTGTTTGTGCCTTTGTCTGTATGTGTGTGCATGTCTTAAGCGTTCATTCACACTTCCGTTTCAGACATTGTGTGGTCGAAGTACGCCTTCGATTGCATGTCAAAGTTCTGTCGCTTTGTTATTTTTTTTTTCTATTATTTCTACACTTTGCTTTCCGTTTTCTATTTCCATTTCCATTCCTGTTACTGTTTTGTTTTGTGGTGACCATTTGCCAACCGGCTTTTGTGTTGTCGTTCTTAATGTGGCATAACTGCCGCCACATTGTTGCTGTTGATATTTATTTTACGATATGTTAATAATATTATTTTGGTATTTGTTTTGTAAATTAGTTATGGTGGCAATGTTGCCGGCCATACCCGGAACAATTAATGATGGCCCGCAATCCTCAGAAATCATTTCCATATTGTTTTGAAAAAAATATACCAACTGCAGAAAGTTGTCAAAGCAATGTAGGGAACAGGTGGCGTACTAGCAACATACATAGCTCATACGCCACTTTGTATAGCGATATAAAAAATGTCACTAGGATGGGCGGAATTTTTGGATAGAACTTACCCAACCCTCTGTATTTTATATAACATGTAACATTTCGCCAGATTTCTCGGAATTGAGGATTTATTTCAATAAAAAATGAACCCTCAAAAAATGATGGTTTTATTCATTACAAAAAGTTCAGAAGATTTTTTCGTAGAAAACTAGTAGTTCTAAGGGAAGAGGAATTATTTTCAGTAGCAACCTAGGTTTAAGATTTTGTTTTAGGAAAAAAAGTCCGCATTGAATTGACTTATTATGAGACAAATGTATCCTCTGCCTTCTCAATAAAAGACAATGAATCCTAGGATACTGATTTTGTTCAATAGAAACAAATGTGTCTTTTGTGGAATTTTTCAGTAGGAAGCGTTGGTCCTCAGTTTTGTGAAGTTACAAAAAAATCGGTCCTTATGTCTGAACATAGTTTTCAAATTAAAAAAGTGTCTTTAGACTGCATTTTGTAGAAATATTCCTTGGAATTGCAAGTTTTCTTTGCCAAGAAGTGCTTATAGTAAAGAAAAATGTGAACAGTGTCTTCTTTGTAGAAGGTAACGTAATCAGGTCGTGAGAATTGTTTCCCTAAAAAAATTGTCTTCTGTGATGAGGTTTTTTCAATGGAGCAAAAGCGTCCTGAGAGTGAGATGTTAAAAAAGAAGAAATGAATGTGTCCTTTGGTCCTATAGCATTGTACTGTAGAAAAATAAGTATCCTCAGAAATATATTCCATAGAAACCACAGAACAAGTTGAAAATTTGTGTTCTCAGATTTTTTTGCTATAGAAGAAATAATAAATATTCTCTAGGGAAAATAAAACAAAACTGCGATATGTGTTTTAATAGAAAAATGGGTTTCAGAACTAAGCATTGGGTTCTCATTGCTCAAGAATGTATTCCCTTAGAAAAATTTAGTTCCCAGAATAGTGGAATTTTTTCAATAGGGAAATTGTTCACAGGTCGGAACCTTTTGCCCTATAAGCATTTAATGAAATAAAATTTTCTCATGTGTTGAAGATTTTTTCTATAGAAACTAATGAGGCTTTATATAAAAGAAGATTGTTACTATTGAAAATAAAGGTCATCATGTCTTTAAAAGAAAATATATATCATCAGGGTTAAGGATTTTGTATAGGAAAAATGCTTTCAGGAATAAAAATATTTTTCGTAGAAAAAATTGAGCCTTAAGGATTTTTGTTATAGCAAAGAAAATATTAATAATTTTTATTGCAAAATATGTTGTCGTTTATTTTTTTCCTCTCAAAATTTATATATTCACTCTTTTCTTATTTTGTTCTCTTATTTATTTTGTAATATCAATTTATTTATAATCTGTATTAAACTTTCTTCTTTCTTGCATGCCTTATAACTATTTCGTTCTACACATCTTTCGTTTGTTTTAACGTTTGTCAAATTGCAATTGTGTCTTTCACCAAAATAACAATGCACGTTTTTATGACATTTTGTCAACCTAACTATATGGCATTAAAAATAACACAACCTCCACCATCCAACACACTAACATTTTAAATAAAACTAACCTCACTTTCGACCGATCGAACGACCGACCGCACACTCTAGCGTTGGCAAGATGGGTTACGGCACATTACTCACAATAATAAAGCCACCAATGTCTGCCCAACGACTAATTTAATGAAACAGTAAGTCAAATATTTTTCATAAATAATTTCACTGTAATAAGGAAATGAAATCGGTTAACGGTAAGTTGGAAAGTGTTGCCTAGCATAGTATAAGGTAAGTACGAAATCAATTAATGGAACATTGTTAGTAGAGGAAATGAAAATGTCAATGCCTGGGATGAATGGAACATTTCTGTTAGTAATTTTTTTAATAATAATTTAAATAATGGCCAAGTGGACTGATTTCTTTCTTGTTTCTGTAATCAGTGGCACAGATAATTGAAGCACATACGCTTCACATGTCCCCAACAGCCTCCACATGCAATTCGCAATGGCAAAATCACATCTGACCTTTAACATTTGGCCTGCTGATAATTTATGGCTTTTCAAGTTTTACAGCTGCAACAGCAACAACAATAGCCGTAGCAGCAGCAACAAATGTAGAAGCCTTATTACCGAGGTTTTTCAGCATTACTATGAAAAATCCTGCACTTTATTATGCAGCTCCTTTTGCCCACCTCCCAGCTCTCGATACTCCTGGTGTCCTTTCTCACTCGCTCTCCCTTTCATAGAATATAATAATTTTCCCGCCATTCAACCATCATAGAAAAGTTATCATGAATGTTATTCCCCATGAAATGATTGAGATTGAGAAGAAATGATAATAATACTGTTGCTGTAGCTGCTGCTGTTGGTTTTTGCCTCTGCCCCTCCTGCAGCGGCAGCTGATGATGATGGAGATGAAATGTGAGTCTCTTTCAGGACAACACAGTAAAATCCTCCAACATTTTCATTCATTGCATTTGCAATTTTTATTGCAAGTATGGGCTGAATCTCCTGACAATACACCACTAGCAAGGACATTATATACTCCCATAACAATTCTATACAAAAAAACACAAATGTGTGTTTATATTAAATTTGTTTACAATTTTCAAATAAAGCGATACGAATTTTGTAAACGATAGCAAAGCAATTAACAATGCGAAGTTTTTTCAGTTATTTTCTATATTAAAAAAGGCCGTGAAGATTTTGTGTAAACTAAAATTAGTAAAATCTATAACAACATAGTCCTATTTTAAAAAAGGAAAATCAGGCATTTGTGAGGAAAAAATAAAATTCCCCATGTCATAACAGGTGAGTTAAATCAGACCTCAATAGTCTCCAAAGACAAGGTAAGGTTTTGTAAATTCATGTATTACAATATAAATATATTTTCTTATTTTCAACAGAGAAATTATTTTAGTAATGATCCCCTTGTACGTTTCTTCTACCTACCCTTACAGTTGGATGCGTTTATCATTTTCCGTGGAAAAAGGTGGGAAAATTCCCATCAAAGTTGTGGCCAAGACCTTCGCCTCTGGCAAAACCGAGAAATTGGTATATCAGTGTATCAAAGATTGTGGACTGCCCGATGACAAGAGTGCAGTGATGACCCGCGATGAATTTACATTCGATAAATTTTATGCCTTGTATCACAAAGTGTGTCCCCGAAATGACATTGAGGAATTGTTTACAACGATGTAAGCCGAGATCGACATCACTTCTAAGTTCTTATATTCGAAATCATATATCGTCTCTTTTGTTTCTAGAACCAAAGGCAAATCCGAAGTGATAAATCTCGAACAATTTATCCAATTCATGAATGAAAAGCAGCGTGATCCACGCATGAACGAAATTTTATATCCCCTCTATGAAGAGAAACGTTGTACAGAAATTATCAATGATTATGAATTGAGCGAGGAAAGAAAAAAGGCTGGTAGGTATCGATGGAGTGCACGGGGGGAGAGTAGCTTGGAAAACCATAATTTTTAATTTCTTCCGAATATCCAGGTGAATTCTCTTTAGATGGCTTTAAGCGTTACCTGATGTCCGATGAAAATGCTCCCGTATTCCTGGATCGTCTTGACATGTACATGGACATGGAACAGCCATTGTCCCATTACTATATCAATAGCTCACACAATACCTATTTGTCAGGCAGACAAATCGGTGGTAAATCATCGGTGGAAATGTATCGGCAGACTATGTTGGCAGGATGCCGGTAAGTAATACCCCCCACCACCCCCAATGGAAATTCAAATTAACTAAGATTATTTTCCCCCCAGCTGTGTTGAGTTGGATTGCTGGAATGGCAAAGGTGAAGATGAAGAACCCATTGTTACTCACGGTCACGCCTATTGTACTGAAATTCTGTACAAGGACTGCATACAAGCCATTGCCGATTGTGCATTTGTAGCCTCCAGTTATCCGGTTATTTTGTCATTCGAAAATCACTGCAATCGTGCCCAGCAATATAAATTAGCCAAATACTGTGATGACTTCTTTGGCGAGCTGCTGTTAAAGGAACCTCTACCCGATCACCCGGTAAATAGGCATTCATCATCAATTTCATTTGGGGAGTTTAAAATTCTAATTTATTTTGTAGTTGGAACCTGGTTTGCCACTCCCACCGCCTTGCAAATTACAACGTAAAATCATGATCAAAAACAAACGCATGAAACCCGAGGTGGAAAAAGTCGAATTGGAATTGTGGCTCAAGGGTGAACTGAAAACCGACGACGACCCCGTCGAAGATGCCACAGCTGCCAAACCGCCAGAAGAAGCACCGCCACCACCACCACCAGAAGCTGCAGCTGAACCGGGCCCGGATGGTGCACCGGCCGAAGGTGCTGGCGCCGAGGGCGGAGAACAACCAGCTGCCTACAGTGGCTCCACAACCAATGTCCACCCGTGGCTTTCGTCGATGGTCAACTATGCCCAGCCCATTAAATTCCAGGGCTTCGATAAGGCCATTGAGAAGAACATTGCCCACAATATGTCCTCGTTCGCCGAGTCGGCCGGCATGAATTACCTGAAACAGAATGCCATCGATTTTGTCAATTACAACAAACGTCAAATGTCTCGAATTTATCCCAAGGGCACACGTGCCGATTCTTCCAATTACATGCCTCAGGTCTTCTGGAATGCCGGCTGCCAGATGGTCTCACTCAACTTCCAAACATCCGATTTGCCCATGCAACTGAACCAGGGCAAATTCGAGTACAACGGTGGCTGTGGCTATTTGCTGAAACCCGATTTCATGCGTCGTTCCGACAAGGACTTCGATCCCTTCGCCGATGCGCCAGTGGACGGTGTCATTGCTGCCCAGTGTTCGGTGAAAATCATTGCCGGCCAGTTCTTGTCCGACAAGAAGGTCGGCACCTACGTTGAAGTCGATATGTTTGGTCTTCCCTCCGATACAGTGAAAAAGGAATTCCGTACCCGTTTGGTGCCCAACAACGGCCTCAATCCCGTCTACAATGAAGATCCCTTTGTATTCCGTAAAGTGGTCTTGCCCGATCTGGCTGTGCTACGTTTCGGTGTCTATGAAGAGAGCGGCAAAATGATTGGCCAACGCATCTTGCCCATGGATGGTCTGCAGGCGGGCTATCGCCATGTATCGCTGCGTACCGAAGCCAATTTCCCCATGTCCTTGCCCATGTTGTTTGTCCAGATCGAATTGAAGATTTATGTACCCGATGGCTTTGAAGATTTCATGGCTATGCTTTCGGATCCCAGAGGTTTTGCTGGTGCGGCACAGAAACAAAATGAACAATTGAAGGGATTGGGTATTGAGGAGCAGAGTAGTGGTGCGGCCAAAGATGCTGGTAAATCTAAGGAGGAGGAGAAGAAGGAAGCTCCATTGGTGTTTGAGCCGGTTACATTGGAATCTTTGCGTAGCGAAAAGGGTTTCCAAAAGGTGGCCAAGAAGCAAAACAAGGAATTGGATACGTTGAAGAAGAAGCATACCAAGGAGCGTATGGCTGTGCAGAAGACCCAGAATGCTGCCATTGATAAATTGATCAAGGGCAAGAGGTATGGCGGGGGGTTTTATTGGGGAAATTGAATTTGTTGGAAAATAGATTTGTAACTTGTTGTTGTTCTTGTTCATTATAGCAAGGATGAAATCCGTAATGACTCGGCCATTAAGAATGCCATTGCCGAACAAACCAAACAGTGGACTGAAATGATTGCCAAACACAAGAAGGAGGAATGGGATCTCTTGCGTCAGCATGTGCAAGATTCTCAAGAGGCCATGAAGGCATTGATGTTGACCGTACAGGCATCACAAATCAAGCAATTGGAAGAGAGGCATGCAAGGTGAGTCAGAAGATATGGAATTTGTTGGAATTAAGTTTATTTTAATGTGTCCATGTGTACAGAGATGTCAAGGATTTGAATGCCAAACAGGCCAAGACTTCAGCCGATACCGCCAAGGAGGTACAAAACGACAAAACATTAAAGACTAAAAACGAAAAGGATCGTCGTCTAAGAGAGAAAAGACAAAATAACATTAAACGTTTTATGGAAGAGAAAAAGGTGAGTTGAGAATTTTATTTTCTCTTGTGATTTTTGGAAATATTGAATTTCAATTTATTTTTTCCCCTTTCCAGCAAATTGGTGTCAAACAGGGCCGTGCCATGGAAAAACTAAAAATGGCCCATAGCAAACAAGTCGAGGAATTTAGTACTGACGTACAAAAGGTACTAAACGACACACTGCCGCAGAATGACACAGTAGCAAAGTAGATCTGCCTTTATGTAATGCTAAAATACTAAACAAACAACAAAAAACACTAAACAAAGTAGTAGTCACGTAGAATTTCATCATCATCATCATCACCATCGTCATCACCAATCAGGATCATGAACAACTACATTGTTGAATGTTAATTAATTCCATTATCATTTACTCAATATCATATTTAAACAAATGTTAACAACATTGCAAACAAAACAAAACAAAACAAAACAGAAAAAAACAGATGAGATGAAGAGGCAACAATATTTACAGTAATTAATTAATTATTTGTTTGAATTTCAATAGAATTTCAATAATTTGTAAGAAAAAATGATTGTACCAATGCAAATGCGAATTATCGGAATTCTAAAGGGAGAAACACATAAGAGGATTCAGGCCTGGCTGTTGGCTTTGTATAAAATGTCAAATTTCATATTGGAAGTCGTTCTATTTTATTCTTTTACAATAAAATAACCCAACTTAACATGCCAAGCCTGAAGTTCTCTTATATGTTTTAATGTTTTTTTTTATTTATTCCAAATGTTGACCCCGTTCCACAATCTGCAAGAATTTAAAATGTTTTACTACTATTACAATTTTTCCTTTATGCTTTCCAAAAAATAGTAAAATTTAGTAGAGGTTATTTTTGATATTCAAAATTGTATAGTAGTGCCTAGAATTATGCAATGATTTTAAGATCCTACAGACAAAATAGTACTATTTTTAAAATTTTACCTACAAACTATTTTTTTAATCCAAAATGAAACTGGAAATGGATTACTTTTCCCTTAGGGAAATAACAGATTTTGCTTTTATACTGTATTTACTCTGAATAGGTACGGGAAAACATATAGAAAGGCTACCATGGGTTGGGTAGTTCAAATGGATAACCGGTTCAGATTTAGAAATAGATTTCCGTTCGATTTCATGTAAATGGAGATACCATGACCTTTAGTTCTCTTTATACGTGTCCAACTGACCTTTCCTTAATTGAATATTGGGCCTTTCCTTAATCGGTATTCTTAGCTTTCTATCAGAGCATTTTAATAACACAACCTCACTTCTTAAGATCTTAGCTGTTATTTATATTGGTATTATTAGAAAATGTTATATATTTTTATAATTATTATCTAAAATAATATTTATTTACTTATTTTTTTCTTAATTTTTACAGCTCTTAGATATGTACAAAGTGGAAGAAGAGGCCTATAAACTACATGGAAAATCGGAATTCTATGTCTAGGATTTGCCCAATGAGGATACCCATGAAACTATGCCAAAACAACAACAACAGCAACAATAATATTATATTTTTAAAACAACAAAATCAATAACATTTTTATAATAATATTCATATAAAAAACCAAGCAAGCAAAGGGGGAATTATATATGAACCTAAAACAAAAGAGAGACTATTTTTCTATATAAGCCAAGAAAAAAATATGAGGCATTGATTTTTTGGGTATTTCCTTTCGACATGAAACAAAGGCCAATAACCAAAGCAAAGCATTTGGCCTAAAAACCAAACCAGAAAAATGCAATCGAAATATTACTGTGTAAGAAAATCAGAAATTAAGAGAAATTATTATTATTATCTAAGATAAAAATATAAAATATATTATAATTTATTCATAAGTGAAATAAGTTAAAAAAATAATAATAAATATTTATTAAAGAGGAAAACACTTAAATGAAACTGTTAATATTTAAAAACCAAACTAATAATTAAATAAAAAATATTTAAAACAAATAAAATAAACGTAAAACAAAATTTAGTTTGTATTTTTCAATATTAACAGGCTATGAGAAGAAAACATGAAAATTCCAAACAAATATACACCGATTATACAAAATAAAATAATAAACAAATAATATACAGTAATTTTAAAAGAAATAAATCTAGTCAAATTTATAATAAAAAAATAAATAAATAAAACAAATCTCTATAGAAATGTATCCAAAACTAATAATAAGAATAATAACAGTATTTTGAATGAAAATAAATAAATAAAAAAATCCCAAAGAGTTTCCGTTTAACCACCTATTTATGGAATTACTTAACCCAATGATGGTCCCAAAAAAGAAATGGTCCATAATAAATACAAAGGGTTCAGTAATTCATTTTTAATAAAATAAAAATAATAACAACAATTTATTGTAAACAACAGGCCAAATTATGTAATGCATTGTGCATTTAAAGAAATAATCAGAAAACGAAAAATATTACAAATTGCAAAAGTTAACAATTCCATTTGCTGAATTAGTTTTAAAACTTTAATGCTAAGGATTTGAGGGGTTTTATAAAAATTTCCAGAGAGAGATTAATTGTTGTTGTAATTTAAATTTTTACATTCCCAATTTCCTTAATGGTTTGGAGACAAAAATCAAGGAAATCTTCTTAAGATTCAAAATAGAAATTTAGTTTTCAATCTGGTGTGGTATTTAAAAAGAAAGAATTGAAACTTATTATTACTAAAACGATACAAATTCTAATTCCTTAAGAATATCTCCTTCAACTCCACAACATTCCCTAAATTATCGTATCCAAGCTATTTTCCCTCAAATAATACGCCATAACCTCATTTTCCATAATTTTTTTATCTTTAAATGATGCATTGCATGATAATTTGGCCACTTAATTTTATTTGTTATTTATTTTTTTAAATAGTACAATAAGCAACACTAACACAGAAAATACACTGAGCAAAAAAATTCTTCCGTATTGTAAACAAAAGAAACAAAACAAAAAATTTGTTCTAACAGATAAAAGCATTTATTTTCCAGATAAAGAAAGAAAAATCTAAAGAAATAAATTTAACAAAAACGAAACAATAATGAAAATAATCATTTGAAAACAAGAACTCAAAACAAAAACAAAAATACAAAACAACATACATACATACATATTAACGATGTATGTATATGACATATTGTTATAACACCTTACAGATATCAGTGTGGTTTTTTCACAGGCAAAAAAAAAAAATAAAAAATGGCCAAGTGACTTCATTTAAAATGTGGACTTTAGAAAATATTTTTTCAAAGAAGATATACATAATACATATAACTTTTTAAAAGTTATTCAAAATAAAATTGAAATCCTTTCATAAAGTCCACATTTCCCATTTTGTCACTTGAATTATTTATTTATTATTTTTTCTTTCAAATTTTTTTTTTTCATTTCCATAAAAAAATAGCAGTTTATTGTTATGCTTAAAGCTTTCTAAACTAAAAAAAGAATACAAACAATTTTGTAATGGAAACCAAAAATGATTAAAAAAAACACTAAAACTTGGATTAACTTTTATATGTGATACATAATTCTAATACTTCTAATTTAAACCAAACAATTTTCAATTAAACCCATAAGGAAAATGAAAACCAAAACTAAAACATACTTTCTATAATCAATAATTTAATTTAAAAAAAGAACACATATTTATATTGTTTTCTAAACAAATAAAAATAAATTACTAAATGAAAACAATAAAAAAATATAAAGAAAAACAACAAAACCTGCGCTGCGTATGAACTTATGAAAAATCCCAAATACCAAAACATATATAAAACAAAACAAATATTTTCTTTAATTAAGAACTAACAAAAAAAAAGAAATAAATTAAAGAAAATTATTTTGCCCACATTTTGTAAAAGAAAAAAAAAACAAAATGTTGGGACTAAACAACATTTCCTTACATATTTTTTTTCTTTCATTTGAATGTAAACGAACTTGGCTTAAAGGCAATTAAAACACACATAACTCGCATATAAACAACAATTCAAATATATATTTAATTTTGAAACATTTTTCAATATTTATTTCTACGTTTTTTTTTTCTTTTGTTCCTATCGAAGCAAAATGAAATTATTAACAAAATAAATTACAAAAACTTAAAATATTAACTCATTGTAAAAGTTACAAGCAAAACATAATGTCGAAAATCAATTTATTTAGTTATATAAGCTTATCAAAAAGGTATTATAAAGAAGAAGAAGAAGAAAAACTAAAACAAAAGAAAACCAAACAAATGGCAAGACGTATCCCTCTCATTACCACATAAGCTATTGTAAAGGAAACCTATTAAAAAAGAAGAAGAAAAAAAAACAATTGAAATTAAAAGTTATAGAAAATAAAAACAAAGAAAGAAAAAAAATAATAAAACAAAAAATATATATTAAAAAAAAACAAAATGGATTTTTATTTTATACAATAAAACCAGTAGGGAAGGGGTGGGCACCATTTTGCTGACTCCTCATAGGGGACGTTCAAGTATTACGTAAGCACTATAGGGTATGGAGGGTCACTGCTTTGCTAATTTTGGGTTAAGAGCTATGTATACTTTTGATGACAGGGTGGACCCGGGATATATAATTGCAAGAAATCTGCTTACGTAATACTTGAACGGCACCATACTTTAAAACATAACTAACAAAGCGGAATGTGTCATAAAAAGTAATTCTTTGCGGGAGCCATGTTACCCTAAATAGATTTGATATCAGATAAAATGTGAGGCATCCCCCTTTCATACCCTTTTCCGGCATATGTCTACCTCATGATTATTGGAATGGGGTATGAAACCTATATATTGTGGCGTTAGAAACTCATTGGGCGACAAAAAACTTATAATACCTTCACAAAAAGTTGTGTAGGGTAACACGTAAGAGGACGTCAGGCATGGCCTGTTAATTTTGCTTTTATATTGTTAACGGAGAACGGCGTCCAAAATCAAGTTTGACTCTGATATTCCTTTTAATTGACATATCATACAAAGCCAACTTTAAAATGCCAGGCCTGAATCCTTGTATGTGTTTCTCCCTTGAGTCGTAGGCCACACCATGATGCAAAAATAAGATGATGTATCAAAACAAAAAACATTTCTTTTTGTTTCGATCATCTGTCAAAATGTTCCTTATAATAGGTAACATGGTTGGCAACATTGCACGTCGTATTCAAGTAGAAATTACGCACTTTGACAGTTAAATCGAGTCATCAGCTGCCCTAAATGGGCAGACTACCTATTTATTGTGTCATGGCCACACTAAAGTGACTTCAGGAAACAAGTTACAAGAAATTATGAGTTCTTAGATCGAGTTCCCCAGTTGAATAATTTTTTAAAATTACTGTAGCGGTGAACACGATCTAAGGACGCATACTTTGATGTAAATTATTTCATGAAATTACTTTAGTGTGGACAGGGACTCGATATTATTTTCAATACATTTTTTTTTAAATAGTCATTGCCGTTATTTTTTGATGTTCTTCATAAAACGGCATTTAACGATTTAACGAAAGTTTAAAAAAGCTTTACCTGAAATACATCAGCTGCTTATCAAAACAGCTGTTACAAAAGCTCTATGACGTTGCGGCCAAGCAAAACAGCGAATAACACAATCAATAAAAGAAATACAACACAACCTATGCTAGAATTATTCAGATCTATACACAGACTTCAACTGGTAATAAAATACAAATTCCATTTCTCCTCACATATACACACTCCCCTAGCAAAAAAATGTCAACTTTTGGACAAGAATTTGATAAAATATGGCCAACAACGGATACACCGCTACAGCTAAGCGATTTCGGTAAGAAACTTCTAAAACAATGTGTGGACATAAAGAAACCGGAACAAAAGGAAGTGGATATCAATGCATTTAAATTGAAATCTTCAAATTTCCCATTGGAAGTAAGTCAAATTTTCGAGGTATAATGTGGCTCCATTCCGTTTCAATGTCTTGTTTTTATTTGGGGTATTTGTAGTTTGGTACCAATACCTGCCGCATTCTGAGTCAACCCAAAGACCGCTATCCCAATATACAAAAGCAAATTGTCTCAGCGTATCCCCTAATCCACGAAAGAGTTCTACAATTGTATTTGGATTTTCTGGAACACAAATGTCAGTTTGGTAAGTAAACGTCATTGCAGAAATCCACCAAATAGAAAAAAAACATAATTTCACAATTATTGTTTATATGTATGAATACACACAATGTAACAAACCGCTCCACAACTGAGCAGAGTATATAAACAATATAAATTTCAATAGCAATGAGAGTTATTTAACGGTAAGAGCGTGACGGGAAAGGGATGTTTGTAAACATTATATTCGCGAGTAGTGAGCGCGAGAGTGAGAGAAAGTGTGTATGAGAATATGAACGGGTTGCCAACCTTTTACATTTGCAATAAGGGTATTCACAAAACCATAATTGTTTTACTCATTTAAATGAAATTCCGACAAAAAAATAATATTTATTGGCATTTTTATAAAACAAAAACATGAACAAAAAATAATAATGAATAATAAAGGCGATGATCATTTGAATGTATTATAAGCGAATTTTTTTCTCTTTCGAGTCGACCTTAATGATCGAATATGTTTTTATTAAATACTTTTAGGCAACTCCATTGAAAAAGAAATCTATCAAAATCTCACCTTAACTGGTCTTGTGCAGCGCCTTTTAAAACAGCGCTGTGCCAGCTTTTTTGGGAAAAATGATAAATTTCTACTGCTAACCTCTGAACGTGGATGCAGTGGTTTTATGGATGTTGGCACCCCAAATGAAAAGCCTCCATTGATTTTAAAGAATGTCTTGAGCTATGATGAAATCAAGGTATGATTTGACTTTGGAATAGCTACCCATCTACCCATAAATAAATGTTTCGAATTTATTTTAGCTTTCTGCCCTATTGTCTGTTTCCTCGTATTCGGAATTAATAAACAATGGCTATCGTCAAAATTGCGGTGTTATAGAGAAAAATAAATCTCTTATAGAACGTGAAGGTGTTGTTATTGGTTTAATTGGAGCCCGGTTAACACGGAGAGATGTTATGGAGTTCCAAGACATTGTTATTGCAAAGACACAAAACACCAAAGAAAATGGTTATGGCTTTCCATTAGACGATGAGGAACCCGATAGTAGGGCAAAAGGTTATCGTCAAATTTGGAAGAAATTTTACCAAGAACCCGATTTCCTATTTACGGATGTAAAGAAAGACGACAAACGTTTCGCCACTGCTAAAAATCAAAATGATATTTTCGATAATCTGCTGATGAAGAAACGTTATACCATTTCGTTTGACACTTTGTTATTGGAGAGCAATGAACGGGCCAAGGCGGCTGGTAAACAGGCCTATGTCCATGTTGTGGGCATTGGTTTGGGTGTGTGGAAGGCTGCCGCACATCAAGAGCAACTATTTTTGGAAACATTTACACAGCGCATAAAGTATCTATTACCGAAACTGGGAAATATTGATGTGCTACATTTCTCCTGGTTCCAACTCAGTGAATGGGGTGAATTGAAAAATGGCAAAGTGTTTCAATCGGAAACCCACCCTTCGGGTGGCATTAAATGTTTCATATCGAAAAGAAATCCAGCCGATAAACTGAATACACCAGAAACGGAAAATATGCTATTGATAATATCCTATGCCTGGGATGGTAATGCAATACCGGGTAATGAATTTTGGATGGTAAATAACTTCAAGCTAAAGTTTATGCAACAAAAGAGTCTAATAGAAACTTTTTTATTATAGAAAATGTTAAAATCGACTGGTGATTCTTCTACGGCCTGTAGTACTCTAATAGCGGAGCTCCACAATCCCCACATCAATTCAGAATGGGTGAATGGTGATAATTTGCATATAGCCAGCGAGGAATATGGTATCATACACATTGCAGATTATGTTAAAAAGAAAATGCTTGACTAAATACATGATCAATTTTATACCTGACCTATGACCACCCACCTGTACAATGGACAATGTGCAATATATACATATTTTTAAGATCAATAATAAATAAATTATTAGACATATTTAAACATATGCCTTATTGTACGAAAATAACATTATTTTTATAGGAAAATAAATGGTTTTATTACACGTTTGAACAAATTTCGAAGAAGTTCTGTTCTATTTAGTTTGAATAATCATAACTTCCGAATGTATGTTTAGAACTTCTTACAGAATTCAGTTTAAAAGTCGGAAATGCATTTAAATTGTATACGATAAGCGACCAATAAAATTTCCCTTCAGAATTCGATAGATAACACGCCTACCATTTCTTATGACTTTCGATGCGAACTCTAGCTGTTTTGATTGCTACTCTAGAACAGTTATTATTTTAGGTGCCGTTCAAAAAAAAAATGCAGGACCAAATGTACGTAAAAAAGGACCAAAATCAGATTATCGGACCAACATTGAACATTTCATCGGGATTCTCTTAAATAGCCAAACATCAAATGTCCAAACGGCAATATTGGTACGAATACATGCACACAATATCAGTACTCAGTACTCACTGTTACTCATTTCCAATTGTTTTGAGATAGAGAGAGCTTTACCAAATACGTACGATACTAAAAACAAATAACAAGAAAAACATGAAGAATGCACACACATACCTATGTCTTAGCCGGAACAAAGAAGTCGTTGAAGGCAGGGTTTAAAATGCAGCATCAAAAAATATTAGCATTAGTCTTACAGAGCTACTGCTAAAAAATATTGACATTATGACTAAATCAGCAAACGGCACGTATTGCACATGCGAGCTTTTTTTGTTATGACTAATCGGCAGTACGACTACATATTCACATTTCGCTGCCAAACATCAAATGTTTGTGTGTTCCAGAATTAGAAAAACGGCAATTTTGCGTTTTTATTTAATTTACATGCACACAAAATCAGTACTAAAAAGTAATAATATATTAAATTAAACTCTTTAGCAAGTTTCCAATTGTTTTGATTATCATAGAGCCATTTTTAATTATCTCAGTTAATTTATAAAATTTCAATGGGCGATACTAAAAACAAATAGCAGCCACAGTCAAAAAAGCTTTGGTTGTTAGTCGCGTTGACAATTATGTTGTAGTTGTTCATTGCTATTTTGTAGCTGCTGACACACAGCTTTAGTTTTGCTTGCTAAAATTATTCGTAATGCATTGCTATTTGTTGCAGTTGTGCTTGGCTGTGCTGCATAGTTTGAGGATGAATTTAGTTAGCAGTGCGCCAATTTTCTGTGTTTTTGCTATTTTGGCGTTAGCATTTTAAACCCTGGTTGAAGGTACTTCCCGCACAGAATTTTATGTTAATTTCGTCACAATATACCTGTAAATAGCGGAGAAGGAGGAAATATGTCAAAATTTGGTCCTGAATTTGAACAGATTTGGCCCAATGGTAGCCGCATCGAATTGTATAATATTCTTTTGAAGCAATGTGAAAATATTAAAAAAACCGGCAAATACGGAGGTTGATATTGACGCATTTATGGAGAAATCTTCGCAATTTCCTTTAGAGGTATTCTGATGCCAGTAAAGCTAAAACGATTTAAACAAATAATTTCGTCTTCACAATAGTTTGGCTCGAATAACTGTCGGGTTATGAGTCAGCCCAAGGACCGCAATCCCATCATTAAGAAACAAATCTCGTCAGCACATCCAGTTATACACGAAAGAGTATTGCAATTGTATGTGGATTTCCTGCAATTTAAGTGTCGATATGGTATGTCCAAATTTTTATTACGCTAACTTATGCAGACTTTAGTAGCATTCAAGCTCCGATTTACATTAGCCAATGCAATTTTACTTGGGTCATTTCTCAGTTTGATGTGAGTAGTGAGAGTGTTGCCATCTCTCACCTACAAACTACAGAATTGTGGCAAATAAAATTATCGAAAGTGTAACCATCGTCCAAGAAATTTCCACTTTATTGACAAAAAATATATATATTCAATATTTTTCCAACAAACACCCAGGACACGCCAAAGAAAAGATCCTCTATAAGGACATGACTGTGGAAGATTTTGTACAACGTCTACTGACAAAACGATGTGTGGTATTTACTGATGATGTTGATAACTATATACTGATCGATGGTACAACAGGATATGGTTTCGACTATGATCTGATTGGCACCGACCAAGAACAAGAGCCATTGGTACTAAGTAATTGTTTGTCATATGATGAAGTTAAGGTGAGTAACAGAGAGGATTCCACATCAAATAATAATTGGCCATTCGCTTCCAGCTTTCAATATTTCTTTCGGTTTCTTCGCATAGTGAACTTATCAATAATGGGAATCGTAACAATATGGCAATTATTGAAAAAGATCTCAGCAAAATTGAACGTGAAGGTGTGGTCATTGGCTTAATTGGTGCTCGTTTTCAACGACCATTTGTTATGGAATATCAGGACATTATCATCAACAGTGAACAAAATATTGAAGAAAGGGGCTATGGTCCAAGAAGCTCTTCATTTTATTTGCTTACCAAAAGAAATTGCACCGAAGAAAAACTTCCCGAATTGGTTCCGCTCATTGAATATCGTGGAATCTGGATAAAATTCTATGATGAACGTCCTTATCTACATCGCAATGTCAAAAAAGATTATAAACGATTTGGTAATGTTCTGAATTCCAATTCGAGCGATATTTTTGATAATGTTGTTATGAAGAAACGATATACCATATCATTCGATACATTGTTGTTGGAAGCCCAGTCGAGGGCAGCAAAATTGAATAAACAAGCCTATGTCCACATTGTGGGCATCGGTTTGGGTGTGTGGCGTGCTGCTGTCCAGCAGACGGACATTTTCTTGGAAACTTTCTATCAACGAGTTCAACAACTCCTGCCAAAACTTAATAATATTGCTGTTTTGCATTTTGCCTGGTTCGAAGTGGACCAATGTGGAGATTTAAAACATAATGGTTTCATAGAATCGTCAGTACATCCTCACGGCGGAATAAGAACTTTTATTTCTAAACGTAATCCAGCTGATAAATTATTGGAGCCCGATTTTTCCGATATGCTTTTAGTTATATCCTATGCATGGGATGCTAATGCCTTGCCGGGTAATGAGTTTTGGGATGTAAGTAGAATTTTTTTTTTTATTAATTTGTTTGCCAGCGTTGGCGTTTAATATTGTTTTCCAGAAATGTTTGGGTAATTCCAGTGATTCGTCAACGGCCAGTAGTACTCTGATAACAGAACTGCACAACGGTCACATTAATACAGAATGGGTATGTGGTGGAAATCTGCATATAGCAAGTGCTGAACATGGTGTAATTCATATTTCCGACTATGTGAAAAAAATACACGAGCGAGCGGAATGATCGTAAATATTTGAAGTCACCAAAATACAGTGGTATTCTCTTTTAGTCCATTACACAATTAGGAGAATTTAAATTCTCACTATATGTATACAAAATTATATGCGAAATATTATATATTCAATAAATGTGTGTACCTACAGAAAAATATATGTGTCTATTAATTTACTATGTGATGAAAGGATGTTAAATTATATGTAGCGGTGGTTTTAAAGGAATTTATATTATTGTATATATTTTCATAGGACACAACACAACAAGGAATTTAACTGAATTATATATTTTCATAGGACACAACAAGAATCAAGAATGTATTCTGGAAGGATGCACATGGAAGAATACAAATACACCAGCATCAACCATTCGTTTAGCATTTATTAAAAATTCCCACTGGGTTAATTCAAACACTCTCTCCAACTTAATTTGTTGTTGTTACGTGTTTTGAGAGAGATAAAGGGAGAGAGCTTTATGAAACAGCTGCTGATAATCTAACCGAAAAAATATAAACAGAGAATAAAAACAAAACACTTTGACGGCTAATCAACCATTCATTCATTTCGCCCGCTAAGAAGACGCACACACGAAGCACGAAGTTACCCAGCTTTTAACAAAAAATTTCATCATAAATCATAATAAAAACACAAAGTAAAATATAAAATAATTACTATGTCAATATTTGGTCCCGAATTTGAACAGATTTGGCCTAAAGCCGGTTCTGCCTTAAAATTAACTGAATTCGGCAAGAAGCTGTTGAAACAATGTGAAAATATCAAGAAACCTGAAAAGACAGACGTGGATATTGAGGCCTTTATGAAGAAATCTTCGGAATTTCCCTTGGAGGTGTGCAATATGACATCTGGAATCTGTAATGCAATTTAATTTTGTTTTCGTTTCCCTCAATAGTTCGGCTCCAACAACTGTCGGGTTATGAGGCAACCCAAGGACCGCCATCCCATCATTCAGAAACAAATTTCATCAGCATATCCAGTAATACATGAGAGAGTATTGCAGTTGTATTTGGATTTCTTGGAATATAAATGTTTATATGGTAAGTAGAGAATAACAACAAATATTTGTGTGAGCATTAGGGTATACCGTTTTAATATGTTATTTCATTCGTTAAAGAGACAAATGCCATGTTAAAAAATTTCATTTTTAAAGGATTACATTTCCTTTTTCTCGTACCACAACAACGTTTGCACTTTTGTTTTAATTTTCTGCAACACCCTATTGTACAGACGCACGCATATATTCCATCCATATTGTTATTGTTAAATACAAAAATATAGGGGGTTTCTTGGTTAAACTGTTGAATGTTTGTTTTCACAAGAGACCGACAAAAATGTCAATGACTAATACTTTGAGTACCTGAGAGATTGATATCTGGGAAAATACAAAAAAAAGTTATGGGTATACTTGTTTATGATAATAATCAGCTTTCGCTAAAGAGTTTTATTTTGTATAATACCCATCAAGTCTTAATGCAAAATAAAATGTGTAATGAAAATATATTTAATTTATTTACTCTTCAATAAAATTCAAAACTTGTTTGTGGTTTACGGTAATCGGTTAGAGTTTGAAAATATTTACATATTTCAATATAACTAGAATATCCTAATGCATACACTTTTCCAGGAAATTCAATTGAAAAGGGAATTTATCAAAATCTAAGTTTAAACGCATTCGTGCAACGATTATTACAAAAACGTTGCGCTAGTTTCTTTGGCCGAAATGATAAATTCTTACTCTTGACACGTCATCGAGGTTGTGGTGGTTTCAAAGATGTGGGAACCACACCCGAAAAATATCCATTAACATTAGAAAATGTCTTGAGTTACGATGAAATGAAGGTAAGCGCCATCGTAAACACAAATTAAAGCCAAATTTAAAATCAATTCAATATTTTTGTTAGCTTTCAGCACTGCTATCTGTCTCATCCTATTCGGAATTGATTAACAATGGTAATCGTCAAAATTGTGGAGTTATTGAAAAGAACAAATTGGCCATAGAACAAGAGGGTATAGTTGTGGGTTTAATTGGTGCACGACTAAATCAGCCAATGGTTATGGAATTTCAGGATATAATTATAACAAAAACACAAAATAGTCCAGTAAACGGTTATGGCGACTCTAAACATGATAAACCCAAGGCCAAATATCGTAAAATATGGCAAAAGTTCTATGAGGAATCGGATTTGCTATTCGATTCCGTGAAAATCGATAACCGTCGATTTGGACCAACTAAAACTCCAAATGATATTTTTGACAATCTATTAATGAAGAAACGCTATACGATATCATTTGACACATTGTTATTGGAGAGCAATGAGCGTGCCAAAAATGCCGGTCAACAGGCGTATATACATGTTGTTGGCATTGGTCTGGGTGTTTGGAACGTTGCCGAGCAGCAGGAGAAAATATTTCTGGAAACATTCACTCAACGTCTAAAATATTTGTTACCCAAACTTCAGTATATTGATGTGGTACATTTCTCCTGGTTCCAACTGAACACATGGGGAGAACTGGGAAATGGCAAAGTGTTCAAATCCGAAACTCATCCCTCAGGTGGTATAACGTGTTACCTATCGAAACGGAATCCGGCAGATAGACTGAAAATAAACGACAACAAAGCCAGACTGTTGATAATTTCATATGCTTGGGATGGTAATGCCTTGCCGGGAAATGAATTTTGGATGGTAACTATTTGCTTTTCTTTTTATTATGAATATTTTCAAAAAATATATTGTTTTTTTTGGTTTCGTATAGAAAATGTTAAAATCCACTGGAGACTCTTCTACTGCCTGTAGTACATTAATAACGGAACTTCACAATCCCCACATCAATAAGGAATGGGTGAATGGTGATAATTTACACATTGCCAGCGAGAATTACGGTGTCATACACATTAGAGATTATGTGAAAAATATAAAACCCGATTGAAATAAATGAACATTTATTTATAAAGAACTAGTTTCACATTTTCTATTTATTTCTATTTGGATTTTCCCAGAGACTTAAACATATTCATAAGTAATGTTAAAAATACTTTGGACAGTAGTTGTGTATTGCTTCGGGATTGGTCCATTATGCAACATTGATAAGATAATTGTGGCTTACCACATATCAAATTCTATTATAAAAAGTAATAAGTGACTAATCATTATTATGCTTTGTGCTACACTTAGTAAAATAATTAACAACCAAAGTGAAAGCTTGGCGGCTATCTTCTCCAGCATCATGCTTAATATCATATGTTTACTACTCCCACATTGCTCAGGTCATCCTAAGGAAAAAGTCCTCTATACAGACATGTCTTTGGAGACTTTTATACAACGATTGCTAACCAAACGATGTGTTGCATTTGTTGGTCCCATGGATGCTTATATGCTGATGAATGGCAGAGTGGGATATGGTCTCGATTATGATTTGATTGGCAGCGATGAGGAAAAGGAACCATTAGTCTTAAGCAACTGTTTGTCGTACGATGAAGTAAAGGTGAGCGAGCAACAAAACAGATAGCTTCAATTTACATTTTTTTTTTTCATTCAATGTCCTTCTTTTGTAGCTCTCAGCTTTTCTTTCTGTTTCATCGTATAGTGAACTCATCAATGATGGAAATCGTAAAAATATGGCGATTATTGAAAAGGATCTAAGCAAAATTGAACGTGAAGGTGTGGTCATTGGTTTAATTGGTGCTCGTTTTCAGCGACCATATGTTATGGAGTATCAGGATATTATCATTAGCATCGAACAAAATACAGAAGAGAGGGGCTATGGCCCAAGAAAATCATTCTTCGATTCCCTTACGAAATTATTCGCCAACAAAGAGCACTCTGATGTGGCGATTACCACATCTAGGAAATATCGTAAAATTTGGGAAAAGTTTTACGAGGAACCCAGCTACCATTTCCGCAATGTCAAGAAAGACAATAAACGATTTGGTGATATTGAAGGCGCCAATTCAACTGCGATTTTCGATAATGTTGTTATGAAGAAGAGATTTACAATTACATTTGATACACTGTTGCTGGAGGCCCAGTCGAGGGCAGCTTATTTAAATAAACAAGCCTATCTTCACATTGTGGGCATCGGTTTGGGAGTGTGGCGTGCGGCTGTACAACAGACTGAAATTTTCTTGGAAACCTTTCATCAGCGAGTTCTACAACTCCTGCCCAAACTAAATAATATTGGTGTTTTACATTTTACCTGGTTCCAAATGCCACAATGCGGAGACTTAAAACATGGCGGTTTTATTGAATCGCACTCACATCCACATGGTGGTATAAAAATATTTATATCAAATCGTAACCCAGCTGATAAAATTGTGGGCCCAGAATTCGCCGATATGCTTTTGGTTATATCCTATGCCTGGGATGCTAATGCGTTGCCGGGAAATGAATTCTGGCAGGTAAGTAGTTAATCAAGTGTTTATTTTTGTAATGAATACAAGAAAATTATTGTTGCCTCTATCATCTAGAAACACTTGGGTGATTCCAGTGATTCTTCAACGGCAAGTAGTACTTTGATTACCGAACTACATAATGGTCATATTAACACAGATTGGGTGTGTGGCCGAAATCTGCATATAGCAAGTGGTGAACATGGCATCATTCATATTAGCGATTATGTGAAGAAAATCTATGGATAGAAAATGAGAAGATTCAGTTATTTTTAAAATCCATGTTATATTATCGTATTGTAATAAAATAAATCTATTATATGTATTGTAAAATATATTTGTTGTTTTAATGTGGTTTCTTAATTCGTGACTAGGAATGATACCAACGGTTTCCTCAGAAATGTGTATCAATCTCTTACCCCTTCAAATCAGGATGTGTGCACATGTCCTATGGTTTCTGTGTCGTGCTCTTGTTGTTCCCAATATTTTTATCATAGTAGCGTTTGATATTAACAACTGATTTTGTTTATCCATGACTAGGCTCTCCGGTTGAACAAACACTCTATAAAGGTTTAGGCTTCAGCGCATTTGTTCAGCGTCTATTGGATAAACGTTGCGTTGCTTTTGTCGGTGATAGGGATTCGTATTTACTAATTACGGGCCAATGTGGAGATGGTTACAGTGATTATCCACTTATTGGGAAGCCAAATGAAAAAGAACCACTGACGCTTGAGAATTGTATTTCCTACAATGAAATTAAGGTAAGTTACCGAAAATATTTATTTTTTATTAACGATAATAATTGGGCTCTATAGCTTTCAGCTTTTCTCTCGATTTCATCTTCTACGGAACTTTTAAATGATGGTAATCGTTACAATGTAGCTGAATTTGAGAAAGATTTGAATAAAATAGAACGACAGGGAATAGTGGTGGGTCTAATTGGCGCACGCTTCGAAAGACCCCCCTATATGGAGTGTGAAGATATAATCATCTCATCCGAACAAAATACAAAAGAAAATGGTTATGGCTTTGATGCCAACAACACCACAGTCGCAGAACATTCAAATTCCCATACTGAATATCGTAAATTATGGCAACAGTTCTATCAAGAAAGAGATTTCCTTTATGATAATACCGTGGTGGACGACAATCCCAGATTCTACCGGTGTTCATCGCAGGAAATATTCGACAATGTTTTAATGAAAAAACGTTATGCCATCTCGTTTGATACCCTACTCATGGAGGCTCAAAGTCGAGCAGAGAAATGTCAACAGCATGCCTATATCCATATTGTGGGCATCGGACTGGGTGTGTGGAAGAAAGTGTCCCATCAAAATAAAATATTTTTAGAAACGTTTTCACAAAGGGTGCACCATTTATTGCCTAAACTAAATAATATTGGAGCATTGCATTTCTCGTGGTTCCATATGAATGAATGGCATGATCTGAAGGACAAGGGCTTTATAAAATCAGCCTCGCATCCCTTAGGTGGCATTCACGTTTTCATGCATAATCGCAATCCGGCTGACAAATTGCAAGACTCATTTGAAAATATGTTATTGGTGATATCCTATGCATGGGATGGTAATGCATTACCTGGCAATGAATTTTGGTTTGTGAGTATCGAAAACGGATAAAAAAATATGTATGTGGATTTTTTCACTTGTAAAATTCATTTTTATAGGGATCCTTATCTGGATCTAATGATCCGTCGACTGCTTGCAGTACTCTGATCACCGAGCTGCACAATCCGCACATTAATACCCAATGGGTATGTGGTGATAATTTACATATAGCGAGCGGGGAATTTGGCACAACACTTCACATTCGGGATTATATTGAGAAAATATCACAACAATTATTGTAGTTGATGCGGCGCCATCGAATTGAATGTGTAATCCATGGACTTATTAACAAATATCAAATTTAATTAAAAAATAAAATATTTGATGTACATATATAAAATATATTAAACGAATCAATAATAATTTCATTTTGTTGGTTACAATGTGTACAGGATTTAGATTACATGTATGTGAAACTTATACCTATCGAAATATATGCATAAATAATTTACACATTGAATATCTTATAATTTTTAAATATACAAGGATATCAAATAAAATCGGTTACTTTGAATTACTCGATATTTAAATAACTGTCACAGAATCATTTCTTCTTTGAAGAAGAAAGTAGAAACTATGCTGTTACTAGCAATGAAAATATGATTTTTTCTTTGAATTTCACAATTACACCTCTTATTGGAAACCCCACTCATATCATATTTCCACCCATTTTAGGTCATCCCAAGGAAAGGGAACTTTATACCAACATGTCCTTAACTGAGTTCATACAACGGTTATTATCAAAGCGTTGTGTTTCATTCGTGGGCCACATGGATGCTTATTTGCTGATCAGTGGTGCAACTGGGCACGGTGATAGCTACTTCAATGTAGGCACCAACAAAGAAAAGAAACCATTAACCCTCAATAACTGTTTGTCTTATGATGAAGTGAAGGTAGGTAGGGTCAGCAATACTGATAGTGTAATTAAATTAAATTAATTCTTGTTATTATCTTCTTCTTCTCAAAGCTCTCTGCATTTCTTTCAATTTCGTCATACAGCGAACTTATTAATAATGGCAATCGTAAAAACCATGCAGTAATTGAAACAGATTTCAATAAAATTGAACGCGAAGCTGTGATCATAGGTTTGGTAGGCGCTCGTTTCCAAAGACCCTTTGTTATGGACTATCAGGACATAGTGATAAGCCCCCAACAAAATACCATGACAAATGGTTATGGCCAGCCAAAAAGCTTAACTCTGTGGAATTCTATAAAATACAATTTATTTTCGAACAAAAGTCGTAGAGAAAAACGTAAATTGTGGGAAAAGTTCTATGAAGAACCCTCATTACTCTATCATCAAGTTGTGAAAGACCATAAAAGATTCGGCGATGTTGTTAGACCCGGATCCCAAGAAATTTTCGATAGTGTGGTTATGAAAAAACGTTACAGCTTGGCATTTGATGTGCTCTTAATGGAGGCCCAATCTCGAGCTGCCATTGAAAATAAGCAGGCCTATGTGCATATTGTGGGTATAGGGTTGGGTACCTGGCGAATTGCCCAACAACAAACCCACATTTTTATGGAAACATTTGAACAACGAGTCCACTATTTATTAACAAAACTTGATAACATTGGGGTGTTGCATTTCTCCTGGTTTGACATCGACGAATGGGGTGATCTAAAGAACAATTCCATAATTTCATCTAAATCGCATCCTTTGGGTGGTATACGTGTATTTATTGATAATCGCAATCCGGGCGATAAACTTCAGGGAACTAAATTTGAAAATATGTTGCTGGTAATCTCATATGCTTGGGATGGCAATGCCTTACCGGGTAATGAGTTTTGGTTGGTAAGTCTAGTTGGAGTATTATTTGTTTTATTATTATCTTCCTTAAAATCATATATTCACTTTTCAGCAACATTTGTCGGGTTCCAGTGATTCGGCCACGGCCAGCAGTACCATAATTAGTGAATTACATAATCCATTTATCAACACCAAATGGGTATGCAGTGAAAATCTACAGATAAGCACATTCGAGTTAGGAATAATTCATATTAGTGACTATGTAAAATATCTAAATCAATTTGATAATATCAAATAAAAAAATTAAATTAAAAATAAATCAAAGAGCCTGGTATTTTATTATATTAAACGGCATACACATTAGAACTTTTTACCGGGTTAACCTACTTTATCAGGATTTATTTGACATATATGCAAAAGAATTGACAATTGAAACCCACTGGGTTAACGTTTGGCACGATAATTTTGGCCAAGTAAAATTTGAAAATATGTGTTAATTTTGAAAGAGTGCAGTAGGATTTGATTGTTCTGATGCTATATATCATGTCTTCATTCTCCACTACTACTGCCTCAGAACTTATTTTAAAACGAACGATCACATCTGATCGTAAAAAATTGCAATTTGCAGAATCTATATTGAACGAACATATGGTTCGTCGAAAGGCTTTTCTTTAGTTCTTTGCTCTTTTGGGTAAAAACTGCAATTTTTCAAAAATACTCTCAAAGAGAGCTTTTATTAAATACAAAAGTAAACAACGACACACAATTAAATATAAATACGCCACAACCAAGTGAATACTGATATCAGTATGAAAATTCTCCACAGGGTAGTAGCGTGGGTGGTGTATACAAAAATATTCTTGATGTGTATTCAAAAGCTACAACTCAGCTGAGATGACGGCAATGATTCACTACGCTGGATAAAGGCTTCGTTTCGTTTCTTATTTGCCACAAACCGAAAAATCAGCCATCCAAGGCATTTCAGTCTCTGTTTTGTATTTCTACTCTCCATAATGTCCGAATTTGGCGAGGAGTTCGAAAAGAATTGGCCTCCCTTTGGCATAAATCGAAAGCTGACAAAGTTCGGTAATAAACTCATAGAAAAATTGCGTTCAATAGAGAAGCCACAAACAACAAATGTTGATGTTGCAGAATTTATAAACAAATCATCCGATTTCCCCATAGATGTGAGTAAATTGGTGTTTGATTTTTCTATTAAAATTAAAAGAAAAACTCTTTTTTAGTTTCCCATTGAAAGCTGCCGCATTAAGTCCCGGCCGAAAGAACGCTATCCAATCGTACAGCAACAGATTGTTTCCGCTTATCCGCTGATACATGAAAAAGTTCTTATTTTGATAATAGATTTTTTGGAGCATAAACTAAAATATGGTATGTATGGAAAGAAAGGATAACTTGAAAAGCGGAACATATGGTAAACTTTAAAAGAGCTTTCTTCTAGTTACAGTTATAAAAGCTATGAAAACATATGTTTTTGTCAATATTGAGGTTATGTTTGAAAGATTAGATTAAAAAACATATTTGAAAACAAACTTAAATTGACACAAAAATTACTTGTAGAAATTTATTCCCTAAAGATAGGTATTTTGACCATAAAATTAAATATCACAACTACGGTATATAAGAGTGACTTCTTTAGCTCAAAAATAAAAACTGTATGGATATGTTGGATTAGTCAACAATAGAATTGACGGATTTGAATAAAATTGAAATCCCTGCTTAAAACTAAAGAAAATATGTATATACACAATATTTTGATCGCTTTTCTGCAGGTTCTCAAATGGAAAAACGTCTTTACAAAGGCATGACAATAACGGAATTTATACAACGACTCTTAACCAAAAGATGTGTCAGTTTTTATGGTGAAGATGATGATTATTTACTTTTGGATGCCAATACAGGATATGGACCGAATTATAAAAAGATCGGAAGCAAAGATGAAATAACTCCATTAGTTTTAAAGAATGTGCTAAGCTATGATGAAATTAAGGTAACTACATTATCAAGATCTCCAACATATGACCACTAATTTATCAATGGAATTCCTGCAGATTTCCGCCCTACTTTCAGTTTCCTCATACAGTGATTTCATTAACGATGGAAACCGCACAAATTGTGGCAAACCCATCGATGATTTAACAAAAATCGAACGTGACGGTGTTGTATTGGGCATTATTGGTGCCAGATTTGAACGTCGAGAAGTAATGGAATTTCAGGATATAATTATATCGGAGAATCAAAATATTCTAAAAAATGGTTATGGTCAGAAAAGTTTTGAAATGAAACCACAAAGAAAATCTCTAAATCCTTGGAAAAAAATCAATGAATTGGAGAAATTACAAGATTATCGTCGTATATGGAATACATTTTATGAAGAATACGATCATCTCTACGAAGAAGTCGTAAAGGAGAATAATCCACGCATTGGCAATTCGTTGAATTGTTTGCTAAAATTTGACAATTTAATGATGAAGAAACGCTATGCCATCGCCTTTGACATGTTATTGTTGGAGTCGGAGAATCGCGCCAAATTAGCGGGAAAATTAGCCTACATACATGTGGTGGGATTTGGTTTGGGTGTGTGGCGAGCTGCTGCCCAACAGGAGAAAATCTTTTTCGAAACTTTTAGCCAACGTTTAAAAGAGTTATTACCCAAATTGAATAGCATTGGGGTTGTTCATTTTGCCTGGTTCAATTTAAATGAATGGAAAGATTTGAAAAATGGTGGATTCTTGAAATCGGATTGCCATCCTCGCGGTGGCATTAAAACGTTCCTATCAAAACGGAATCCCAATGATAAACTGGTAAGTCTTTAAGCTAATTTTTTCGAGATTCATTGTTATTGTATAAGAATATTTTTAGGAATCTCCTGATTATGACAATATGTTGTTGATAGTTTCCTATGCCTGGGATGGCAATGCCTTGCCAGGCAATGAATTTTGGGTGGTAAGTAATAAATTCAAAGAAAAATATGAATAGAAATTTATCTCAATATTCTATTCAGAGAAAACTTGCCGCCTCCAATGATCCCTCCACGGCTTGTAGTACTTTAATAAGTGAGCTGCATAATCCCCACATTAATACGGAATTTGTATGTGGTAATAATTTACATGTTGCCAGCGCCGAACATGGGATTTTGCATGTTAAGGATTATGTAGATAAATATCTACGTTCTAATACATAACCATATAATAACTCAATAATACTATCGGAAGTATAATCCAGCTTTAAAACCTAAAATTGTAATGAATACAATATTAAATCCTATTTCTATTAATATTTTTATAAACTCAACTATATTCTCCAAATAAGTAAGCAGGGAGCTCCCTGGTACCGAACACGAAATATGTTCATTAGAAATCATTACAATATAATGTAAATATTTTTATACCGTAGCACAGTGTAAATTTTGAACTTTGTGTTGGAATGTTTTAAAATAAATGATTTTTAATCGTTTTCTATTTTTTATTCGAATTATATTTTTTGGCACAAATCTAATCAGGGATGATCTATCGTTTCCTGGTTCCACCTCAAGAATCAACACATCTATGCAGCAGGAACCAATGAAAACGCAAGATTTTGAACACCCTTCACTTGATGTTATTCAATGCCCATCCTTTTCTATGTTGGAAACTACTTAAAAAAGCTTTTCATTGAGTAAGACAGAGATGGAAGAGTAAAAGCTATGGAAAAGGATAATGATTTGGCTTTGCTAAGAAACAAAATGGCTAACGTTATTTTGTGGGTGGTAGCAAAGTGTGAGAGAGAGTGAGAGAGAAGCTCAACTGACTGAGAGAGTGTAAATTGAAAAATAAACGGATTTTAGCAAGCATTTAATCCTTACCACCCTATTTTCCTCCATTGCAGCATCCCCCACCTTAGTGCGGTGGTGGTTATGCTGCTGCTGATTTCGTTGCTGTTTTTAATCAATCTTATCCTGCCGACATCGACAACAACAACAACGTTATGACGTTCATCTCATCATAACTGTCAGTATTTATTTGTAATTCGTTTAGCGTTGTTTAACTTTTAAGGACACCCAACCATACTGGATGTATCGTTTTTTTTTTCTGAGGATATCTGACCGGAATGCCACAACGCTTTCGCTAAGAGTTAAAAACAAAAATTAACATCCACGGTGTTTGGCAGTTGTTCATTTCGCGTTGTCGCAAACTCAACATTTAACGGATAAAAACAAATAGTAAATCGCGCTTAAATCGAATTGACATTTTTTAAAGCGTTTGTATTTTAACCGACGGAAGATAACCGAAATTATTATTTCAAAATAAAATAATAACGGAAAAATATAAATACACCATTTCCACAATTACACAAAAATAAAATTAAAAAAAAAATAAAATAAACAAAAACTGAAGAATGCACAATCAAAATTCCAAATCCTTTTTGATTCGAGACCTTTTGGGGGATTTAATTAATCATCAGCAGCAACAAAATGAAGATGGTAAGACATTTCGAGTTGTAATATAATTTGAAACTTTTTCTTTTTTGAATATTACAATAGCAACAAAAACTGCAATAATAAACCCAAGTGTTTTGATCCTGTCAACATAAGCTAAATAATTTGAAAACAAATTAAAAAAAATTGTTTAAAACATATTTTCTAAATATCTAAATTTCTAATGCAAAATAATCATTCAAATAAAAAGCAAGTCGAATGTTTTTTCTATTTCCAACGTAAAAACGACAAATAATATATTTCAATTATTATTAATCTATAAAATGAGACAGAGTGGTTTTAATGATAGTATACGATTTTTACACATAATAGTTCCAGACTTTGAGAAAGTCTCCTGACTATTTGATGTCATTGAAGCCAATGATCGTAATACGAAATAAAATTTTTAAAATGAAAAACGAAACGAAATGAAATGTTTTAAAACTTTTACTTACAAGTTGCTTGAATCATTGCCATGGTACTGCCATGGGAAACATAAAAAGTCGTTGAGTGTTTGGAAGCCTGTTTCGTCTTCCTGACACTATTTTCCGATATTATGCCCGATAAGATTTGTTGTGAATAGGGGTACACACAAGAAATCTGTTCAAGAACTTGCAAATGTGTACAATTTGTTACTATCATTACAATTTTTCTTTTATGAAATATAAGTCGTTTATGAAATATAAGTGGTTAAGGTCCATTTTAGGTTCTGGTACAAATCTTTGTTTTCTAGAAAAGTTTACGTAAATATATTCTATCATGTTTAAGGACACAAAGCCACAAACTAAATTAATACCACTTAAAAATAGTTTTGAAACAATATATATATATCTTCATAGACCCACACAGTATACCAAACTGAACTTTGAATACTGCGGAATTATTGTTGCAAAAACAACAAGAGATGATTGTCACTCTTCGGACTTAAAAATCCACCTCTACCGCCAGAATTCTAAAATTACAACTTTAATTTATAATTTTTTTCCAAGAGACTGAAAATGTAGAGGTTATACCAAAATTTGAACATATGCTGACTTTGGATGCAGAAATACCCATTTGAGAACTTACAACCTATGACTTATTGTATAATTAAATTTGGACATTATTGGCCTTATATCACTTTGGATTTTTCAGACTTTGTTAAAACTTACAACTAGTTTATCTAACAATTCAAATCGCCTGTCTGCTGAAATCGCAATATTTAATATGGTGTACCGAAATTGATAGCTGTACTGGGAAATTAATTTTATTATTAAATTTAGCAAAATTAAAATATGTCCAAGTCGCTTTCAGGGCACAAATAAATACAAAAAGTACGGAAACGTTAATCTATTCGCAATGTCAAAATCAGACCAGCAGCCAATTTCCAATTGGAATTCGCTTTCAGGGCACAAATAAAAAAAAATATGGAAACGTTAATCTATTCGGAATATCAAAATCAGCCCAGCAGCCAATTTCCAATTGGAATTCTAGGTTACAATTTTTACTCGGCCACATTTGCTAGGAGAAGAGTGAACCTTTAAAGGGATCGTTTTTCGAACAAAGGTATTAAAAACTAGTACAATTTAACAAATTCTGGATCAAAACCTACTATGACAGTACCACCCAAATTTAGATATTGAGATATTGCCTCAACTCTATAGTTTGTATTTAAGAGAGTTGAGGAGACTCTTCACTTCTCTCGCCCACGAACTGGCACTTGCAGCAAGTAAAATTGCTTAATGTTAATCGGGACTAATTTTTTCCCACATTTTATAAAATATGATGGAATTTATCATTTTCTCGGCGTATAGAAGACATATGTTTATGTTAAATTTCCCATATTGGTATACGTTTTGTATTATAACTCATGTAACGGAACTTTTCGATATTCCGCAGTAGTTATATAACATTTTCAATGTTTTATAACGTTTTCAATGTTTTGACAATGTTATTGCTATTATGTAATACAGATCCATGTTCCCATATAACCACACCTCTCAAAAATTCTAGCTGCATTTTTCGAATACAATTTCCAGAATTTTATATAATATAGCACTTATATTAATTTTGTTATCCAGTACCGAATTTGGCAAATTAGGGGTTTTGGTCTCATTTTCTAATATCAATACTCTCAGAGCTCTTCCCCCCAAAATAATAAACATATATTTATATTTTCCGATTATACCGTTCAATTTTAGGTATTTTCAAGACCATAGTCTCATTGGTTTCAAAATATGATATCATACACTATGGACCCACTTTTTTATAGGTATTTTCCGATTTTACTCTCAACTTTTCGTTGATTATCTATTATTTATTTTAATTAGTTTATCCTTATCCTTACTACATTCTCTTTTTTTCAATTTAAGGTCCTTAACATACTCAAGAATTTTAGGTTACCACCATACAGATACAAAACAACATATGTGATAAGAGAAACCTTAAGGACTTCTCCTCCATTAAGAAACTGTAAAGCACAGAGCGTTGCCTGAATTGCCACCATTTGCTAACAAACAAATAAAATAATATGAAGATATAATTTGTTGTTGGCTTTCCAACTAAATACGAGTTAATTGTGTATTTAACATTTAAATAGTTGCTAATTGTTTAGTACTACATGTTTAGATTTGAGTAGGATACTTGGCATCTTGTCAGGCGGCGGCAGCGGCAGCGGCAGGCACCATTGCCATGGCAATGTTGTGACAAGTTTATCTCTAATTCATGTTCTGCACTCTATTTAACACACAGACACACTTATATACACTCTCTAATTAATATGGCATCATTCTCTTTGACATTATCCTCACATACACACTCACACAAAGTATCCTGCTGACACTTTACCCACTCTCATTCGCATTCAACCGCACACAAAATGCCACAGGCCAGTTATGAAAATTGTTTACATGGACAAGTGGAGGTGGAGTGGATGGGGGTGTGGTTAGGTATGGTGTTGGTTTCAGTTAATCCTCAAAACGAATCCTTATTGTTTAACAATATTGCATAAAAGTGTCGTAAATTTGTGGTTGTGTGTGTGTGTGTCGAAGTCGACTAAATGAATAGCTAGACATTATTTTACATTTTTAATTGCCGTATGATTTGTTTGTGCACAAAACAAACCAAACGTACATTTTCATTTCTCCCTTGTCACCACGTTTGGTTGGGGGGCTAAAGGTGGCAAACGACTTTTCTGCTCATCTCCTTGTCGGAATCGACTACTGTAGCGCTTACTCACACCCTGTGCTGGCGGTAAATGAATGCGAATGCAGTGACAGAACACACCAAATGACAAAGTCGTACGTGACAAATTGCTTATAAAGTTGTTAACATATTTTCATCGTTTTCGTCAAGTACACCCTACACTGAGAATGGTGGGTGGTATTCACATGTGTTTTTCAATAGAAAACGAAAATACTCAACGTTTGTAAAAGGAATTGCAAATTGTAAATACAATATTTTCAATAGAAGAAATAATTACTCATGACAGAATAATAAAGGTAGAATTACCTGGCGAAATTAATAAAAATACTGTAATCTAGTGTAAGGTCTTAATATTGACAACATTTTAAATACAATATTTTCGACGTCATTTATTTGCTGTATAATCAAGGGAATTGAATACCCACCGAAGAGGTCAAGAATTTGCCACAAGAACAGCATAGAAAAATATATCGACAATATTGTAGAGGAGTGAAAGTAATATTTATTGCTGGTTATCGTCAAAAGGATTTTTTTTATTCTAATTCTTTACCACTGAAAGAAACATTATTTTAGGGTATCGTTTTGTCACATATGACCAACACTTACACATAGTTGTGGTTTATTTTTTACACGGTCCCATAAAATGACTTAAGGCATTTGCTTTATTATTTTTCAGTGTTATCTTGATTTCATTCCCTTCAACTGGGTGTCTTTGTTTATCTTCGAATTGTTGTTTTTGCCATAATTCCAATTTTGATTTGGCTTGTGCACTCAAGTGTTGAGCTATTAACCGTTGATGTGACATCCTGAAGTTTTCATTAGACTGCGTTTGGTAAGCAGCGATTTCTGCTACTGCTAATTGGTCTGTTGATATCCTGTGGTTACTTTATTTGTTTGTCAAACCCATTTAAAAATGGGGTTGTTGTGCTGTTGTACAATAATTAAGGACATGTATATTTTGAAATCAGAAAAGATAGAAATTAACAGAAAGTTATATTTTTAGACAAAAGAAAAAATAATAAAAAATACAACATCTGTGCAAAAAAAAAATGATATTTTGTGAAGCTGGTAAGGAAAAAGGACAACATAGAAAGGATTGCAGTGTGCTTTTAGGAGTCATATTATAACTCACAATCAATTCAAAAAAATGTACATCATAAATAACTTCTTTGAAGCTATTTTGAACAAATTCAAATCAGATAAATGAAATCGGACGAACATATATATGGTAAATATGTCGAAATATGATTATGAAAGCCCTTAAGAGTTTACCAACAATTTTTTAATAAATAATGTAGATACACCCCATTAGGTAATGTAGATACCCTCATTAGGAAATCAAAATTGTTATTTTTTAAACAAAAATATAATAAGGATATTTAAAAAATACGAATTTAATTTGTATTCCTTTGTATGTAATACTGTAATATTTACATATAATGTTTAGTATCCTAAATAACTTTGGTTTTGCCTTTTCAAATTGACTAATAACCACTTAATTCGTATTCGGAAATATAACAATTGGTATCACTTTAATAACGGATATCTTCAAATCCCATAACTTGTGAACATACATACATATTTAAAAGCAATTTATTGCCAATTGAACACATTTTTTGCAAGTTTTTTTTTATAGCCCTAGGGCAATTGACTTTTAAACCCTTTAAAGACAGAAGAACAACCCCCATTTTCGAAACCACCGAATAAAAAAATCACATATATCTGATAAATATAATTGAAGGATATGTGTATGTCTGTTTTTTTTTATTTTTTTTAACTAGAAAAGGGGGATTTGAGTAACGAAGGAAATCATCTTTAAGAATTTCAACAAAAAGTCACGTCCAATCAATTTATCCTTTCTATTTCTACACTTGCTGGGAGTCAAGTAGCAATTATTTTATTCTTTCAATTGATTTTATTTATTCCAAGAGGACAAAACAACATATGATGATTATGTTTATGTATTTACACATACATTATAGAGATTATGGGAATATCCTGTGGAAAATTTATGGAAAACATAATAAAACAATTACAAAAAAGGATCAAGAGATTGAGGCTTTTGATTTGTACTTAGAAACACATGACTTGTTCTAATTAAATTTTAATTTCTCACATCATGAAATTTTGAATTAACACAGTTATTTATCATCCATCTTATAGTATTTTTATCCTTAAATATTGTTATATTACTGCATCATTTGTGATTGATTTTGATTGTGAAATTAATAAAAAATCCTACATATTCTTTTCTCTGACGTCATATAAATTTTTTTGACACATGTTTGACCTTTTTTCGTCAAAATTAAGACAAAAACTCCTATGAAATCATCTTCAGTAAACACGTGAACATAATGATTCCAACTGTGCCCTCCATTAAGGCTATCGTGGCAACCTCTTATTTTTTATTCGTCTGCAAAAGCACACATGTGCCGCATTTCACCGCTGCAGACAGGATACAAAGGATATCGCCAGATAAAAATAACACAATTACCACACAATACAATGCTATTTTCGTACATAAGAAGACCAGTTCAGTTCAAGGAAATAGACTAAATTCGTTTTGCATGTGGCTTTGTGGCAAAAGTACTCCAAGAGGATAACAATGGATTGGCAAAGCAACGGGAAAACGATGATGCGCAAGCCGAAGCTATCTTTGTCCCGTCCTCCTCCGAGAGTAATGCCAAGTGGGATTGATGAATGAACAAACGAATGAGCGAGCCATTGGATGACTGAATGACGACTATTGATGATGATGATGGGTTATATTTTAAGTGGTGGTATTGGTGGAACATGTGTGTGTGTTTGTATGTGTGGTAGATAGACGTCTAACAAACGCCCACTTAAAAAAGCATTAAATCTGAATATTCAGTTCTTGTTGAATTGTCTTCTAATGATTGTGTTGTCTTGAGTGGGTTCCATTTGATTATTGTGTGGTCGGTCTCTTCATCACAAGGGGTATTATTATTTTTAACCTCAAAAAAATCTGAATTTAATGGAAGCCTTGTAGGTGGTTAAGCGTTTACACGTGTCGAACCACAGGATAGTTGTTACAAGTTCTATGGAAATCAATGTTAACATCACCTCTCTTCTTTTTGTCATTGCAGATTCGGATATATCTGACAACAATTCGGATATAGATATTGAAGATCGTTCATCTCCTGATTCAGAAGCTCTGAATTGTCATTATGCAGGTGGAGGAAATTCCCTGTCAAATGGCCATTTCAATCTGAGCAACAATGAATCCAGTCTTGATTCCTCAAGTTATCAAAATGACAACGATGCCGCTGCCAGTGGCCAGCCACAGGGACAAACGCACCCCAGTTTTCTCAATGATCCCAAAATGAACTTGGTGAAAAGTGGTCGCAAACCAAGACGTCGACGCACAGCCTTTACCCATGCCCAGTTGGCGTATTTAGAAAGGAAATTTCGTTGTCAGAAATATTTGAGTGTGGCCGATCGCAGTGATGTGGCGGAAACATTAAATTTATCTGAAACACAGGTTAAAACTTGGTATCAAAATAGAAGGTGAGCATATCTCAAAAAATTCCAAAAAAGAATTACGACTAAACTTTTAAAATTATTTTTCAGAACCAAATGGAAGCGCCAAAATCAATTGCGCTTGGAACAGTTACGCCATCAGGCCACCATGGAAAAAGAATATGTCGGCGATGGTACGGGCAATCCTTTGGGTTGTTGCCCACCTGGCCTATCTTCGTTCAACACAACAAATCCCTGCAATTTTTTAACATCAGCAGCAGCGGCAGCCTTATTCCGTAACGTGGGCTATGTTCATGGATGTCCCCTGTAAGAATTGTCGAATGCCACGGAAGGAACCTAATCGGGTTGAATGTTAACTGGCCAAACGAAAATGTTTATTGTTAATTAATTTTTAAATACATTTTGTAAATAGTTAATGAAAAACGGTGTACAAAAAAACGTACAAAGATATTGTACACCGCGGTAATTAAATCTGTGCCAACACAGTGCAATATTTAAATTAGAATTAAAAAATAACTAATAATTGTAAAATATTTAAAGAAAATTATTATAATAAAGCGAAATAATAATGCATATTGAGAATTTGTTTTTTATCGTAAAATCAAAGGAAGGGGGAAAGACTTAAAATTGTTGTTTGGTGGTAAGTATAGGGCTATTATATCAACAAGGGAGTATGGGGGGTTTTTGTCAGGTTAGGTGCAGAGGTAATATACTAGTTTCTATTACAAACAATACATCTAAAAAAATAAAATAAATCGGAAAATAAAAAATACAAAAATAGGGTTTAATAAAAATGCGATTTAAATCTCAGAATTTTTATTTCATATAACATTCGGAACTACTATATTATCCCAATCATAAGAATATAAAAAGACAATTTCGATTCATTAAAATCTTGTGATACATCAAAATAACCCCTTTTCTTCAGTACAGCTCACAAAATGTAAAATTTCAGTTTCTCTCATTCTGACTGGCCATCAGTTTTCAACCAACCATGGTTCATTTTACATCTTCTTCTCTCTGACTCTTGCCAATGTCTCTGAACAACAACAATAACAACAATTATGAGCAAAATAATGATTGCATGCAGAATACTTGTTTATGGCCCGTTGAAGGAGTCATTGAAACTTTGCCAACCAACCACCCACAACGCCATACCCCCCGGGAGGTGGGGAAAATACAACATTGTAATGTCGATTATCTGCTCATTAGTGTTTTACTCTGCTGAGCACTTTTGACTTCCGTTACAAATAATAAACTATAACAAAAATAACGTCATAACATCAACATTTATTGGGATTTGTTTAAATGAAATGATGGTTCTTCAAAATAAAAAAATCTGTTTGGAAGGATAGAGAGTTATTTAGTTGAGAAAAGAGGAGACATGGAAAGGTTTTATGCTGATATTAATGATGACAATTAAGGAAGGACATTTAAGGTTTAAAATATAAAAAAAAAAACAATTCAAATGTAAAAGCTTTAGCATTTTGTGCAACCCCTCAAAAGTGGAAAATCTTTTCAAAACATTTGGAGCAAAAAAAGAGAAACAAAATGTTTGTATATTATCGAAATATCGGTTTGGAACAAATCAGTTATAGGAAACATATCGAGTCGATTTAGAAAGGCTAAAATTTTGAAGCGATTTGATCCAAAGGTTTCAAATCGTAAAAAGTTAAATAAAAAATGGAATCTGTCTACACGATAATTTTCCGCCAAAAAGTTCCACAATTTGATATAATTTAAGTCTCATACGAAGCTAAGTGAAAATCGTAATTTTTTTACAAATCTACGATAGGATCAATCGGTTCACTCATTCTGACCCTTTCCCCATAAAGGGTTGAAATTTTGAAAATTTTGTAAATTGAAGAATTAGCTTTGATCTATCAATTGTACAGCGTGAAATATAAGCAGACCTTCATTAAATTTGAAGATGTGATCTATAGGGCCACTCACATAGGTACCTACTCAACCCAGATGAACAACTTTTCGGTCATGCCGTGACCTTATCATTTATATTAAATTCAAATTTATAATTAATTAAGTTCGCTGTTACTTGTTTACAATATTTATTATTAATTTACTAATTAAAAAATAATACAAATGTGAAAATCGGGTTTTTAATAAAAATATTCAAGAAAAAACTCACCATAGTGTCCGCCATTTTGCACATCTTCAGCAAAACCTCATACACAAGGATTTCCAATCAGATGTGTTTCTAAACGCAAGATTATTTTTTTATCAATGTATATATAATATTATTTCAAACGGAAATACATTTTTGCACATATTCTATATTTTTATTTTTTTTCTTTCACTCTTCCTTTGTAACAACAAACCGATCACATAAACAAGATGGCTCTTGCCGTCATTTAATATAAACAACAAAGAAGACAACACTGGCACACTCACGCGAGATGCCAACGATAGCAAAATGTTCATAGAAATGTGGTTAATTTGTTAAATTCACTTCCGTTTTTTTACACACAATATATCACACATTTATTTTTGACCAATTATTTTTCTATTTTATTTTCTACAATAACACATTTTTATACTTTTCACGACATTTTATTGATTGCTACCGATCACTGCAAACAATACCGAAGAACTAATGGCAAAAATGTCAAATAGAAATTTACTGAGAACAAGAGAGAGAGAGAGAGAGAGAAAGGGAATGGGCGAGCGAGAGTTCAAGTTATGTCATTTGTTATTGTTGTAAATTAAAGCTCTCCTCATATGGTAATTTAGAAACAATAATTAAAATCAATACAAAATCGTTAAAATGATAATAATAATAGTTTGATTAACTATTGAAACCAATGTTCACTCTTGTGTATGTTCAGTCTGGGTTTTCCCATGCAACTTTTGTATGCAACACACAGTTTTTGGGAAGAGTTGTATACATAATGTGACTTATATAAACCAGATTTAACATCCACAAGAGTCAATATTGTGGCTATGGTTAAATTGAATATTTTAATTTATTTGCTCAATTTATACAATTTTTCACGAACATCTTTTATAAAAAATTGTTTTTAATTATCGGTACTAAATTAAAATAAATAAAAAGCCACTTGTCACTTTTTTTCTCTCGGTTTCTCCCAGTAAGTCTTACAAATTATTTCGCAGTGCCTTTTTTGCATTAGTATTTAGAAATTGGAATAAATACATGACATTTGTTTCATACCGATTTATAATTAATATTATTCCAGGCACTCATCTTTACAAAAAATCTATTTTTTTATTTATCTTTTACTCTTTTTGTGAGAACATACCGATCACAAAAACAAGATGGCTTTTGTCGCCATTTAATGTAATCACGGCCAAATACACAACAAAGAAGACAACACAAGCACACACACGCGAGATACCAACGATAAGAAAATATTCCAATTGGGTTAATTTGTCACTTTCACTTCCATTTTTCATACACAATTTATCACATATTTGTTCTACAATAATTATTTTAATGTTTTATTGTAAAACTCTAACATTATTTAATACTTTTAGCATTGATTTTATTGCTTGCGACCGATCATTGCAAAGAATACCGAAGAACTAATAACAAAACTGTCAAATAGAAATATACTGAGAGCAAGAGAGTGAGTGAGTGAGCGAGAGTTGAAGTTATGTCAATTGTTGTTGGTATAATTTCAAGCTCTTCTTATAAATATACAGTAGTGAGTCTTGTGATAATGGTAATTTGACTATTATTTACTTTTTTAGATTACAGAATTTATCACAAAATTGTTTTATTTTACTCATAGTTATTAAATTTAAAATAACAAACAAATAATGTTCCTATGGTCTTATACTTAAAACACTTGTCAGTGTTTTTGTTGACATGCAAAGTTGATTTTGGTTCTCTGTCTTTCCTCCCCGTCATTGTCAGTCAAATTGTCAAGTGGTTGCCAACATTTTTCCATGTGAATGTTAACGAGAAAAAGTCATCACCAGAGATTAAAAAAAAGAAAAACAAAAACAAAGTATGGCGTTTATTATTTCAATACAACAAGTAATAAAGAACCATTAAGTCTGGATGTATTTTACAACAACAAAAGTCATTCCCTTTTTGTTATTTATTCCGTTTGGAAAAATGTTACAAATTGTATTTATCCTCTGGGCCGTAAATAATCTGTTCGCTGTACCTTTCTAGGTGAAAATCATTCGCCTATGAATGTCACAGTTTATGTCACATAAAATCCATCCAAAAGGGAGAACATGAATGGCAAACGTCACCAACAATTACAAAACGATTTAGTTGGAGGGTTGTAGTAGTCTAATATTAAAATCAAATCATTTATAAATATTGACTAGAAATTAATAAATTACTTGTGATAACAAAAAAAAAACAACTAAAAAAACTATAAATTTGCAATTTCATGCTTTTTTAATATCAATTTATATGGTATTAAATTTATTTTGGGGGTGGCTTAAAATATTACCCTGCAGACATTTGAAACCCATTTTTTACATTTTCTTGTTTGAAGTATTCATTAATTAGCGTTGCATAACTTGTGAAATAAGTTATAAAAAAAGAGTGGAATTTTATTTTTTCGTTTTTTGCCTTTCTCCGGACTCTTTTCAATTTCATTCATGGGTTTATTATCGTTATCATTGCTTATTCATTGCATTTATATTAAACGCTTAAATGGGGAAAAAATGTAGCTTCCACTTGGAGCCCACCCATGGCATCTATCCATTTATTTATCGGCAGCTGTGTGTTGCCTGTGTTAGTGAACTCGAAAAGTCCTTACAACTACAGCTGTAAAATAACTGTCTGCCACTAGAGGCAACAGCGCCAACTAACTGGAATTACCGTTATTTCATTTATAACAGTGCCAGGCTTCAGATTGGTTCACTGAACAACATTTTAACTGGGCTATGTAGAATATATACTTGCACGAGAGCTGCCAGATCAATTTTTTAATTTTATTTTTTATTGACCCTTTGATATGTATTGTTATGTCATAAATTGTTCTGAAATGATTATTCTCTGGTTCAAAATCCATATGGCACATTCTTGATGGAATATTACAACATTTGGTCATTTCCCGCACTGCAATAATCTACTAGATTTTACCACTTTCTTTGATATCATATAGGAAAATTCGTTATAGTAGTAACAAATTTTAGATTCTTGCAGTACGGGAACAGATCCATTATCTTACATGTCGATTCCACATTCAAAATGAATCCTAAAAATTCGATCAAGTAAATTTTTAAAATGAAATTGACAAATCATATGGCATCCTTGGCAATCCCTTCTCATAACAAATTTATCATCGTTGCAGTGTTCAGTACCCTTTTAATTTTTAACGTTGTTGCTTGTTTTCCGGTTGGCTACATTTTTCGACTTCCATTTTGTTTGGTACCCCGCTAACCACCTCTACCATGCAGCACATAGACATACAGCTCCACAACAAACAGCCACGTTTAACATCATTCTCACATCTCACTAGTAAACGTTGATTCTATGATTTTTATACACATATATACATTTATATATATAGAAAGAGGGGAGCTGCCTGGAAGGGGGTTTTATGTTATACCCCATAACCATCTTTCTGTCAGAACTCCTCTCCATTTCATTGAGAAGTGGTTGGCCAAATTGTATAAAGCTGTTTCGTTCGTTTATTTTCAAATTTTCAGATGCAGTTGCTTGTGAATGATGATGTTGGCTTTTTTCTTGTTTCTGTTGCCATGTTACCAGCGGGACTTTGAAGTATCTATAGATTTTTGTTATATAATACATTTTTGTTGCACAGCAAATTTATTTTTGTTAACGGATGAAATAATTTGTTAATCGCAATAGAATTGAAGTACAAAAAAACACGGAGATTGCTGTTTGCAGTTATTTTTTGGGGAGCTTCTAGCCATTACAATAACATTTATTCACGGCTTTGTTAGTTGGTTGAAATTCAGTTGTGTCTCCTCTTAAAAATGAATATTTATTCTAATCAAAAATTAATTGGATGTATTTTTTTTTTTATTTGGAGTGGGCTGCAGTATGGTAGAATGTCATTTCATAGTTGTAGAAAATTTTAGAAAGTGAAATATATTTATGATTTTGAATGGTTATTAATAGAAATAATAATAAAATTTGCAGAACAGAGCTTAAAGTAAAAAAATAAGTAAACGTAATCCGCATATTTATTATAATTATAATTTCTAATACATAGATATGCAACGCACTTGTCAATACGACTATGTATAATCCTAACCCAACATTTCTCAAAAGCAAATAAAAAACTGCTGAAAATGTCCATTCATATTGATGGGAAAATCAAATATATTTTAGCAATAATAGACCTACTATACACTTGTCACACTAACAATAGAGATTAAACATTAAAAATTAAGAATTGAATACATAACCTCTAAAGCTAACAGATTAAAAGATACATAACCTCAGAAATCTTGATAGTCTTATCTATTATCTTTGCTACTCTACTCTAAGGGATATCAATTAGAACAATTTACAGCTAATTAAACACGAACAACAATCACTTGTTAATTTGGCTATGATGACAGGCAACCCTCCTTCCCACTCTCGTTAAAATGTTGATGTCGATGGGAAAATCCGAACGTTATGCTCCTTTCCTCTTTTTTGTTGTTGTTGTTTGTTGTTATGATTATCAAGATTTTAGACTTCAAATATTATTATGAAACCCATTAAACTTTTGCCGCAGAAAATCCATTCAGCGTATAATCATTTCATTCGGGGGTTAGTTTGTCAAATTTACAGCTTCCCCTTCATTTATCCTGTGGCATGTCACAATTGGAAAAAAGTCAACAACTTCCTCCCTTTTTTATTTATTTGACACTTGGACTCTTTGTTGTTCATGAAGTTGTTTCTTGTGGAGGGTGAGTGAGTGCACGGGCCTGTTTAGTTGTTTATCAAGGAGTGATATTTTGTTATTATGTGACACAATTTAAATAATTTGTGGTTGTAAACATCATGAAAGGTCCGCTGCAACGTGAAGTGGCAATTTAGGTCATGCCACTAATTATAACACTGGTTATATGCTAAAATAGATTCACTCTAGTGAAACGTGATTTCAACAAGTGAAATTAGAGGACCGCCCAAAGGGACAAACTCTATGTTTAATAGTAAAATAATCAAAAAATACTTTTTAAAAAATAAAAATCTTATTTTAGAACCAGTAGTTAAAATTAGTAGTTAGAATGAAACTTCAGCATCTGGGAACGATAATATTCAAACTTTTTGAACTGGAAATTAAATAATTTTCCGCAACTACCCTACGTCTGCATCGTCATTAGTTCCATGCACCCACAGGAGCTTTATGCCTTTGAGTGCTGTTGGTAATTTGCAATTATTGCCAATGATACACCCTCCTTTTGCCCATTTATATTGTACTTTGTCCTCTGTTATCACACAAAATTGGTAATTTGTGGGCTTTTTGTGATTTCCATTTCATCAAAGATTACACAAATCAAAGATTACACAAACAATAATCCAAGAATTACTGATGGAAATCATTTTGGAAATGATACAATATCAAAGCTGATTTACAAACAACAAGTGAAAGGGAGGGATGAAGACTTTTGCCATAGAAAGTGTTCAAAATCATTCTGGGGAAAATTGAGAAATAGTTGTCTGAAAAATTTTAACACAATTGGTCTGTTCCCGTACTGCAAGAATCTCCTAGTTTTTACTACGATAACAGTTTTTCCTTTATGATATCGGAAAAAATAGTAAAAATTAGTAGATTCTTGCAGTACGGGAACAGGCCAAATATTTCATCATAACTTATATTCGAGTAACTATGGGGTTCTTAACCCTGAGGATAGTATATCATATTACTCCTCTAACATACTTCGTGATTTTATTTATTTTTAAAAATTTCTGGAATGGGTCTATCGTCAAGCACCAAATTGTTCCAAACGAAAGAATAATAATATTTTTTTTTTACTTCTTTAAAGGCAAAATATCGAGGGACTATAGCCTGAATCCAGCAGTATATAAACATAAATACTCCAGACATTACTTTGTGATATCCAAAATAAAAATTATAAATATCCTCCTCGAAATCACATTCGAATAATGGAAATATTTTGAATATAAAACTTAACTTAGTTTCAGTTGTGATCATTATTATTTTTTAATTAAAACATTAGAAGTGTTCGTTATTTCAATACAAAACACTAACGAAATTTTGCTTAAATGAACATCTATAGAATATGAAATAAAGGATATGCATCTGTCTTCATTATAGAAACTTGACGTCAATAACCCTTAGCAAATAATTATTTTTAGGCGTTTGCAATTGTTCACATGTATATACATGTAGGTGCAATTATGTCATAGCTTATTCTTAACAAATGTAAAATACAAATAAAATAGGTCTCTCCCTCAGAAACTAGATTAAAAATTGCTATGCATATGGATTAAATGCATCTTGGCTTCTTTCCACATGCCTTAACCTGCATACAGAGATGCTCACTCGGTTCATCATTATACATTCATATTTTGAAATTTCTTTCATTTTTCGCAACAAAAACAACAAAACACTTACATTTATAATAAATCTATGCAAGATTGCTATGCATTTCAGCCAGTGCAGCTTTCTTCGGTACTTTGTGAAAGGCCCACAGGAAAAAAATGAGCAAAAATATTTTATGACTAACGAGCTAAAGTCTTTATGGGCGTGACACCCAAACCCCAAATGTATAACTTTCAAATGTAAATAACTTTTGCCCCTGTTGTTGCAGCATTTCTTACAAAGTTGCTGTTGTTGTCATCCGTGTTGCCTACCTATGGATGGATGGATGGGAGTTGGTTGCTCTTGTACTTGGATTGCGTTGCTGCACTTTTTCCCCCATTTGTTTCGTCTGGGTGGGTGGTTGGCTATGTATGTGTGTGTTGGCACAAGTTTTATATTTTAATAAATTTTAATTATGCATTCACATGAAAAGATTATCAACTTTAGCATTATGTTGTTGTCGTTCTTGTGTTCTTTTTCTTGTTGCATAAGTATCATAAGTTGTACATTTTATTTTTTAATTACTACCACCGAAGAGAGCTGGTTGTTGGTAGTAAAAAAACAAAGCCTGCTTAGAATTTGCCTTTTAATTGGTTGAATCTGATATGCTTTATCTTAGAAAACAACAACAGCGTACAAATATATAACCAGGTCATCTAAATGTTTGAATTGCATTAATAAAGAAAATCATCGATTCTCATCAAGCATTTCCTGAAATAGTAACAAGATTTATTTTATAAATCACAGTAAAGTAATTTTTAATCTGGTTTCTATTGTCATTTCAAAAAATAATTAATTTTCTTTCGGGTTCCTTTCTTCTGAATTTTTGTATGTCCCCCATATGTTACGAAAATATGTTACAATTTTTCTTTACAAATATGAAAAGATGAAAAGTTTTTGGACAAGTACTATCTTCATATGAAAGATAAACTCGATACGATTAAAATTCGTTTTATTAATTTATTTCTTATATCCGCAAATTTATTTATTTTCTTCTAACAAAGCTTAAAGCATTTTCAATAATATCTACACCATTTTCAATTTCAATTTATTCTTCTAAAACATTGTCCAACCATTGTTGAATATCATCCTTATTGTCTCCAGTTGGCTTACCTGCTACAGTTACCGGCGTCGAGGGAGCATTTGTTGCTGGTGTATTTCGACCTGACTGTACGCTGGCCTTCGACATTTGATCTGTTGTCATATTTAATAGCTCGTCCAGTTCGTCGGGTGCTTCCGAAGCAGCTTTTTTAGCATTGGAAGCCTGTGATTTTTGACTTTTAGCCGAATTGGTTTTACGACTAGCCGAACTAATTTGAATTCGTGGATTATCAATGTGTTCCTTAAGAACATTCTGGTAAGTCTTTTCCGCCAACTCTGCCGACTTTTCCATACTCATCAATTGTTCATTGCTAAACATGGTTGATGAAAAATCCATACGTTTATAGAATGGAATTGTCTGAAGACCCACATTGATGAGTTTCAGATTCAAGGTAAAGTATTCACTAGCTTCCGTATTGTCAAGGAAGGCTTCATTCTCCGCCTGTTCCCATTGTTTTTCTGAAGAAAATTTAAAGTGTCCACCCACAGACAAAGGCATTTGGGACATTAAATGGAAGTCGCCAGCTCTCATCTGTTCATTTTCTTCGTCTTCCAAATTCATATCCAGGTCACGAGCATATTCCAATTGTGTGGTTACCCTTGGGCCACGGCCCTTAACCCACTCATTGCGATCCACGAAACGTTCGTCACTGGAGTCCACAACATCAACATAGCCCCTGATTGGTTCTGCTTTATCCGAACTAGAGGATGTTTTGCAATATTTGCTCTTATTGCGGTAGAAAGTTTTCATCTTATGGCGTTTACTGGGGAAAAAAGTGTGAAAATTCAATTAGCTTCGTATACCAGAGGTCAACTATGTACCTACTCTTTTGATCGATTGTCCTTGCCTTCCATTTTATGTGGATTTTTGGATGGTTTCCTTGGAGATTTTTCAGGAAGTAGTTAAACGGTGGTCATTAGTAGGAATGGAATGGCGAACAATCGATAACACTATCGACAATTTTTTATCGTTAGTTCTGCTTTAGGCTCAAATTTCTCGCCATTGTGCATCACACTCTTTCGTAAACAAGAGTAATGTTCAGTGTTGCCATTCTACATAATTAATTACCGAATTGGGGAATTTGTTTTGGGGATGTAGGGATTTTTAGTACATATATTTCGATACAATCGATGAACTTGGGATATGATTTTGGGTGAAATAAAAAACAAAAACTAAGAAATAACAGAATGCGAAATTCATATTTTATTTTATATTTCCTTTATTCATATCTTAAAGCATATAAAAAATTCGCTAAGTTCTAAGCCAAATCATCAACAAAAGTCGCAGCTATATCCTCCAACAGTTTTTCTTCATCGATCTCTTCTATATTTTGTATTTCTTCTCTGTCATTAGTCTTTGCCTTTTTTGTGCTCGGCTCATCGTCATCAGCTTCCTCATCAACATTCTGTACAAGTGGGCTGTCACAGTCTTCAACGCGAAGAACAATGTCAGGCGATTTTGGATTCTCGTTGAGTTGATCATTTGTATTGTCATTTTCTTCAAGATGTGTTTTGTCGTTGTCAGCAGCTGGCGACACAATTTGACAGTCGTCATTATCCTCCAGTCCATTGTCCACCACCTTATGTGTCGTATCTTCTACATCTTTATGTATCTTATCTTCCACAATCTGCACATCATCTTCATTTGTTTGTTCAAGCATTTCGACATCATTATCACTTGATATATCAACAATCTGTGTTACCGAGTCTTCAGTTGAATTAATAACTCCTCTATCATGTTCATCGATATTTTCCAAACTTTCCTCCTCACGCCCCTCGTCCACCTCCTCACCGTTATCTTTGTTATTGACATCTTCATTAAGCTCATTCTCCTCATCACTATCATCACCAACGCCATTCAACGCCGTAGAGTCCCCTAATAACCGTTCCTGCCCCAGCATAATAAAAGCATTGCGAATCTCACGAGCATCAATGGGAAAGATCAACGATTCCTTTTGAGGATGAACAAGTTTTTCAAGGTTCTGTAGAATTCTAGCACATTGATTACGGACTCTCATGTTGCCATCCCGACAGCAAGCGTTGTTCAACAAACTCAAAATTAAATCCATTGGTGGTGGAGACAAATGGTGTGGAGTGGATACCATTACATACAGTACATTGTAAATCTCCAGGCGACATTGGGCGCTTGAATACAAGTACCCCATATCTCCGGCAAATTCATAAAACTGGCTACAAATCTGTACCACCACGGTTTGTAATAATTTGATTTTCGTGGGCTTCAGGAAACTTGCAACGGAAAGCAGCAACTCCTGTAGACAGCGAAGGGCAGCAATGCACACTAATTGATTTTTGTCATCCCTTTGCGATAGGGAGTTCTTCGCTGTCTTAACACTGTTCTTCGAAATGTTGGAACGCTCATTTTGTGCCTTGTGCAATTGCCGTTTCATCTTCTTGGACAAATGTTTACCCGATCCAGCGCACACCTGCAATGTCAGTTCATTCTGCTCTGGTGTAACATCCACCAGAATTTCATTGATCAGATATTCGGCAATCGAATCGCAACGGCTGCCACCGCCTTGAATTTTGCACCACAGTGAAACACTGTCATAGATCTTGGCCCGGAGCACAGCGAAAGGCTTCTGTTTACCATGACTCTCAGCTGCCGATGTAGACTTCATAATATCCATTAGCAAGCCCAAAATTAAATTATAGTAGGGCAATACATGGGCTCTGAGAATCGATACGACTGCATCTAACAAATACAAAAGATCAATGTGAACCTTTGGCATCAACAAGGCTAAGGCAATGTTATCCGTTATGGGATTTTGATGTAGAAGATTCAGAGTAACACTCAGTCCACGATTGATAATCCCCAACAGCATTTTAGACAACAACGGCTTCTCAGCTGGAAATGGTTCCTTCAGAGCGGCAATTAGATACTGTACCAAGTTGTGGCATCTTATATACAGCTGAGCTGCTCTGTTGACTGGTTCATCGGATAGCACCAACTTCTCCATATTCAGTTGGTCGGTGACAATATTGTCGTCCCATATCTCATTACAACTGGCAAACATGTCGTTGAATACGGCATGAAGGCTGCCCACCAATTGGGTCTGATAATTCTTCCATTGTGTCTTGTGACTGGAACTGCGAACCTCACCACCGCTAACCTGCTGCATTAGATGCAAACATTTTCCATTATAGGCCACAATGTCGGCATCGAGAGAGTCTTGAAACTTTGCTAAGAATTTTTCAATCGTTTTTCTCGACGGGCCACTCGATGCCGGATAGCATCGTAAGCATATTTCCACACACCGAAGGGCGCTGCCAACACTTTCAGCTGGGACATAATTCAACGATTCGTATACTTTTGAAAGATGACCACTTGCAAACGATTTCGTCAAATCTGCTGATTGCAGTGATTTTGTGGTGATCTTACCCAACGCCTCATACGCCAGCATGGATTCATTCGGTTGCATATGGGCATGGCAAGCTTTTAAAGCCAACGATGTCCAAAGATTTCCAGTCTTGTTGAAGACATCGTCAGTGCATTGATCAAGAAATTTATTCAATAAACGAAGCCCCAACAATCGTGACGAAGCTTTGGACAGGAGGGAACTAATGTTTTGGATGACATCGGCCAAACGATCCGCCTGCAAGCCGAACACCTGATCATCCAAACCCTCAACGTAGATGTTGAAAAAGTTATTCTCTGACGAAGAGACACTGTGTATCACTTGCAAAAGTCCTTCAGTTGCCATTCCGAGATGTGTTTCCAATACCTTCCGAACGAGCTGAACGGTAAACAATAATTAGAAAGAAAACGTGCACACCACACACACTCATTCGACTAATCGATTATTTCTTATACAAAAGTCCCAGACGATAATCGCTAATGAAAAATATCGCAATGTCCAATGGAGATTTAATAAGGTAGTATTACAATTCTGAGCGTTGAAAGCTTTCCACAGGTGAATGTCAAAATTTTCCGTTGAGAGTTTGCCTACTTAAGTCTTGATTACTATATTGTATTTTTATTTGCGTTTTTTTTTTAATTTTTGGTTACTAGGGTTCAGTTCTATTGCAATGTTATCGGAACCGATTACTGGCGATTATTTGCCTGGTCATTTTTTATCGTTGATTAATCGATTTTAGTTTGATTGCACGTTTTCCTCCAATTGTTTTTATTTTTTCTCGGGAAAGCAGCAAGTGATTAATATCCTATCTATTGTGAAATTCCTTTACTTGGAGCACTTCGAACAATGTCCAATTTTACCTGCATCAATTGTAGTGTAAAATTCGCTTCGGCGGATATACAGAGAGAGCATTACAAAACAGATTGGCATCGCTACAATCTCAAGCGCCGAGTTGCTGAACTGCCACCAGTCACGGCAGAGGATTTCCAATCGCGTGTCTTGCAAATGCGCAATGCCGAGGCCACTGCCAACGAGGAACGCCAAATGAGCTTGTACTGCAATGCCTGCAGGAAGCAGTTTGGCAATCAGAAGGCCCATGACAACCATTTGAACAGCAAGAAACACAAGGAAAATTTGGTGAAATTTGAACGGGAATGTGGCAGCGAAGTCAAGGAGGTAACCACCAAATCTTTAATACAGCAAAGGCCACATCCGGCTATTGCTGCAGCAGCTGAAGGAAAAGGAAAGTTTGCTTTGAAGCAGGCTGCACAAGTGGTGGAGTATGGTGATGACGACGACGACGATGATGATGAATACGAAGATATTGAAGAGGAAGAGGTTGATTCGGATGAGTTGGATGAGATTGCCGAGAGTCCGTTAAAGGAAAATGACTGCATATTCTGTGAACATAAAGCAGAGGATTTGGTTGATAATTTAAAACACATGTCCGTCGCACATTCCTTCTTTATACCCGACGTTGAGTATTGTACTGATGTGGAGGGTTTGATACACTATTTGGGTGAAAAGGTAGCCGTCTTCTTCATATGCCTGTTGTGCAATGATAGAGGCAAGACCTTCTATTCGTTGGATGCCGTCAGAAAGCACATGATTGACAAGGGACACTGTCAAATGCTACATGAAGGTTTGGCCTTGGCTGAATATGCAGATTACTACGACTACAGTTCCAGTTATCCAGATCATGTAAGTTCTGATAGAACATGTATAGATTTAATGTTACTAATTCACCTCAATTGATTGTTTTTTTGCAGGAAGAAGGCATGGATGTTGATGAAGAAGTTGTTCCAGAACTATTGGATGGTGATGAATATCAACTTGTTTTGCCCTCAGGTGCCACTATTGGCCATCGTTCGTTGCTGCGTTACTACAAACAACGTTTGAATCCAAATCGTGCATTGGTTCCAAAGAAATCAAGTAAATTACACCATGTCCTAAGCACTTATCGATCATTGGGCTGGACGAAAACCGAACAGAAATTGGCTGCTCGTAAAGCTCACGATATTCACTTGATGAAGAGAGTCCATGCTAAATGGCAAATGAAGCTTGGTGTACGCGCAAATAAACTGCAAAAGCATTATCGTGCTCAAGTTATGTTCTAAGTTGATGGTGGTATATGGATTTTATGCGATAGTGGAACTAAATATGATTCTTAGCTAATAGGTTAATTGAACTTTACACGAGTCTTCATAATAAATTTACAACAATGTTTTGTAAATTGTTTTTTATTATAATCACCTGCTGTAACGAAAATATATTTTTTTGAAAAAAAATAAAGGAAATATTTAAAAACAAATGTGCAAAAACTTTCTCTTAAAAAAGGGGGTTAGTTAATTTTAGATACGTCCCTGCTATTTAAAAGCCTTTTCAAATAGGCTGAAAACTTATTTTCGAAAGACAATAACCAAGGTTTATTCATAAGGTTAACGAAGTCTTCATTGACTGTCAAATTTATTTTTAGTTTTTATCCTGTTCTGGTTTGTATTTCGCGATTAAAATGTTGACAGCAAGAGAAGACTAAAGCATGAATTCGTCTCCCTGTTAACCTTATAAACAAACCTTGACAATAATGAAAAATAATGGGTTTGTTGCGATATTTATTGGCCAGATGGCTTTTTCCTCGCAATGAATAAAAATAAATTAAATTAAAGTTATAACGGAATTGTGAATGTCAGCGAAACGCAGCGATATGCTTAATTTATCGGGTATTCAGGATTTTTTGTCAACTGCAACTTACCCAAATTGCTTAATAGACAACTACAAGCCCAGGTTGAACATGCAAGCATCTCAAATATTAATCTTTAATTTATGTTTTAAATTTATTTAAATTTTAAAGTCAAAATTATAAATACAATTTAAGTTTTAACGCTATTATTTTTCTCTTTATTATAAAATTAAAACTAAAACATATTTTAAAACGGGTGGAGTGACAGTTTTCTTTTTAAAGTCGGCAGATTGTTGCTTTCATTTACATGTTTTCTCTCCGTATTACGGCATTGTTAAATTAAAAAAAATGCGAGGAAAAATGTGTACAAAAATTGAACTAAAAAGTAAATAAATTATGAAAAATAAAATTAAATTCAACTATTGTTTTTTGTATATGAGCTGATGTGGGGTCGTATGTATATATGTGTGTGTGTGTTTGTATGGGAGATTTTGTATACTATTTTTAAATGAAATATAAACTATTGAGTCCTTTTTGTTTTATGTAGTATTTTTTTCTTCTGTTTGCTTTAATTCTGTTTTAACTAAAAATTTAAATTAAAAACTTACAAAATAAAATGTTTGTTTTTTGCATATAATATATTTTTTTGCATATAATATATTTAAACATATTTATAGTATATACTTTTTTTAATATTAAGGTAGCACTTCATCGAAACATATAATAGTCATTATTATTTTCAATTTAGCAACTGCTTTTGTTTAAACAATCTGGTATATCTCAATTATTTCTATTGTAGAAAAGTATAGTTTATAAATATTATTAGAAATGGACGGATTTAAAAAAAAAACCGCAGACTGAATAAGAATGGATAAGTAGTTGTGTTTAAGAATATTATAGCTGATTTAAGTTTGTTCATTCATAGGTAATTTGTATATAGTGAAAGGGATTTGTCGTTGTTTTTTAAAAGCAGCTGCTTGACTTACATAAAATAGTCATATATCATATCAAGTGTATTTTATGTATATATGTATATTATATACTCTTTTATATGTATATCTCTGTGACAGTTTTGATAAATATTATAAAAATGACGCAGTGCCAAAAAACTACTCTCGTAGTGTATATAAGAGGTCAGTAATAGTTTCGTAGAAATATAATTAGAATAAAACCTCATTTGCAAAGTGAGATTATGTCAAATAGTGACTATGAAACATTTGAAACTTAGGATATAAATCTATTAACAATTTTTTCACGATAGTACATACAAAATAATTATAATTGTATATACATGCTGACTGCTGAAACGTAACTAAGGCATAACCAAACTTCCAGATTGGGCATCATTAAACGGAGTGTTTAAACTGACAATACGTATTTGCAATATTTTCAGAACTGGCCCACTCTTGAGAAAACTGGAGTATTTGTGTTGGCTTTAGCACTGCGTTATCTTTATTTAATTTAAGAGACGAAAATCGGGGATAAATTATTAGCTTGTATTTTTTTCTTTTTCGTTTGTTTTTTTTTTAATTAAATACATATATATATATTTAAAAAGGTGATAATTATGTATATCTAAAATATATGTATGTTTGTATATATTTAAATTAAATATAAAAAAGAGCAAACGACCGTAGCAGAGTTCACTATTCTGTTATGGAAATGAAATAGGAGAAAATATACATGTGTTGGTGTGTGTGTTTTCTCGACGAAAAAAATCCTAATGGGCAACGGAATCGGTAGACACATTGCATACCGAAAAAAAAAACAAATAAATAGCGCTGTTGCTTTTCATTGTCATTTAGGAAAGCTCCCTACATGGAACTAGTGAATAACAACAGGACTTTGTTGAACACAAACGCCTACCATTGGCGAGGAGGCATCTCCACTGGCCGACGAACCGCTACCACCGCCACCAGCCGTCGCACTGCCGCCACCGCCGGCGCCTCCTACACTATTCGAATTCGAACTACTACTTGTGGCGCTGCCCGGCGGTAGACGTCCCTGCGAATCGTTACGTCTTTGTGAATGTTGTAGTTGTTGCATTTGATGGTGCTGTTGCTGCTGCTGTAAGTGAAGGCCTGGTATTGGTGGCGGCACCATATCACCTACAACCATATTCGATTGAATTGGCTGCGGAGGTGGTGGCATACCAAAGGGATGACTATTGGGCCCTGAACTGGGCCAAGATGTGTAGGCAGGTCCGGTCGCTGAAGCAGAAGCCGTTATAACACTCGAGTCGGTCATCATTAAATGCGAGGCCGCCGCTGATAGCGGATGATGTACCAAATCTAAGGGTAAAGAAGCGGGTGCATAGCTGTGATGATGTGTTACACCTTGCGGTGGCAATGGTGGCGGCTGCTGACTCGATGAGTGAACCATTGATTGTTGGGGTTGCTGTTTGGCGAAAACACTGTTTGTACCGCCACTACTGCCCGAATTTTGACGCAACCGTGAACTTGTCGAACCTGAGGAACCACCACCCGAAGATGATGACGATGATGAGCCACCCACAGGCCCCGATGTAGTAGACGTTACACCGCCACCCTGTAATGACGACGACGAAGAGCCGAGTCCGAAACGTATTTGTTGTTGGGGTGGCGGTGGTGGTGGCATCTGTTGTGTAGTTAATGGTGGATCACAGTCCATGGCCAATGGATATTGTTGATGGTGACTATTGTTTTGAGTGGTACTGCTACAACTACTGCTACTGCCGGGTGATAGGAGGCCTTGCAATGACTGTTGGGCGGCAAAAAGTTGTTGTTGTTGCTGCTGCTGTTGTTGTTCATAGAGGGATTTCATCATCAGGCTGCTTTGGTCGAAACTCTGGGGGCCGCTACCGCTGCCGCCATTACCAGCACCGCCAATTGCCCGTGAACGCATAAAATTACCGCCACCTAAACTGTTTGGCTGTTGGGCGGACGGATGTATTAGAAGACCTGTAGCAAGAAAAAGCAAAAACACACTTTTAGAACAAAATAATGTACATAATAAAGTAATTGTCAGCCAACTAGTTGTATTGCCCAAAATTGTAAAGTTCCTGCGCCTAAAAAAGGATTTTATTTTACTAAATGGACTACAGGAAGTAATATAATCAGGATTTAGCTTGCTGTGAAATTTTCAATTTTAGCTATGGATAAATATTTTCAAATGTTGTACACTTCAGCTCCCGTATTATCATTGAAATGGAAGACACAGCTTCCATTAGTAAAAATAACAGACATCCTAGCAATTGAAACACATTTGTTGATAACAGAGCATTTTTTTTCTTTTTTGTTGATTATATCATAAATTTTTATTAAGTTTTTTTTCATTCTTTTTTGTTCTTGTTTCTTTTTCCTTCATATAATTATTAATTTGTTGTTATTGTTATTTTTATTATTATACTGGTATTGGGTTTATTATGTATTATTTGCGTTTGTTGTTGTTGTCGTTCTTCTTGTTCTTCTCCTTTTTCAGTTATTGTTATATATTAATATTAATTATGAAATATTAACTTAAAGTTAAATGAAATATGTTTATGTGTGTGTGGTTTTATTAATATTAATTCTTTTATTTTATTAATATTGTTTTTCTTTTTAATGTCGTATTTGGTTTTATGTATTAATGATTTTTATGATGAAGTTTTTTGTTTTTGTTTAGTTTTCACTTGTATTTATATTACTTATTAATTAAATGGCTTAAAGTTGTATAACATTTTCTTTACTTTTCTATACTCATTCTTTTGTTTGCGTTTGTTTATTCAAATTTATCGATTGGTAACTGGATGGGGTTTAAAGTAATGTGAAAAAAGGGACAAATGAATAAAATCTGACGTATTGAGTAGAAAGGATACACAATTGAAGATCAATTTGTTGTGAATGTTTCTCAGAGCCCAGTTTTGCACAGTCGAATATCGAAAATATCACCAACGAGGCTTGAAAATGTGTCATATCCATTGGAAATTACACAATTTTATGTTTCGGAATTTAATTTCATGAATATGAACCTGCAAGAATGTACACATATTTACTACAATTATTCCTTAACGAAAGTAAGGAAAGTAATAGTAAAAATAAGTAAATTCTTGAAATTCTGGAACAGACATATTGAAATTTGTTGTAAATAAAACATATTTTAAAACCAATTCGTGTACTTGGAACATATGTTTATAAAATGTTTAAAATTTAAATTTTGTTGTCAAATGTTTTGAAATTTTTTGATACATTATTGTAAAAAAGGAGCAGATTTGGCTTTTTCACATCAGTTGGATTGCACAAGTTCTAGAAAAAATAAATAAATAATATTCCAAATAATAACTCTCCTACTAAAACGAAAAACGTTTTTAGTGAAAAAATATATGCCATTTTAATATGTGATTTTGAGTTGTCAATATTAGCATAATCTTATTTCAATATTATATTTTTTTGGATTTTTTCTGCTTTTCTTTTTGTTGTTGTCTAAAAAGTATTATATTATTATTATTTTAGGTAAATTTATGTATTTGCTTTTTGTTCATTTTATTTACTTCAATAATATTTCAATATTTTACAACAACACACACGCATTTTCATTTGAACATTCATTCTGTTTGTTTTTTTCTCTTTTTTTGTAATTTGTTTTCACTTTTATTGTTAATATTAAATATTACGCATGTTACTCTGCTGTTTGTTGGATTTGTTTCTCTTATTTTTTTTATTATAAACTATGATTTGTTTTTACTGTTACCTAATTATATTATGTTTATATTCTAATGTTTTGTTTTTGTTTCATCTTCAATCCGCTTTTTATTTTGTATTCTAGTATTAAATGTTTATTCTGTATACGATTGCTAATCAAGTTGTTGTTTTGGTAAAGGTAGAGAGGAAGAAATTGGGGCATGGGGATAAAGGGGAAGGGTTTTAAATGTTTGTGGTAATTTTTACAAGTGTATTGAGAATTATTTTGTTAATTCTATTGAAAATGCTAAATTTGTTTTGCATTCATCATGTAGATGTATTTTATACAGCATTTGTTTAATTTATTAACAATAGTCGAGGATTAATTTTTCGTTAATTACAGAATGCCATAAAAGAAACGATAATGTATTCTTCCATTCGTTGCATCCGTATATAACAGAACAACAAATCCGACAACTATTTTCTATTTGCTTTATTTAATAATGGTATAAATATTCACTTTCATTGTTAAATATGTTTTCTTTTTTTTTGGATTTTCATCGTTACTCTGCAAATAATGAACTCTATGGTGGTTAAAGTCACCTAATAAATGCATATTTTTTTCATATAAATATTTGTCCTTTACTTCTTTTTATAAACTATAAATCTTTTCAATATATTAATATCTTTCAGAAAGTTGTCATGTTTTTATAAGTTTAAGAAGTTGTGTTTTTATACAAAATTAAATTCGGATAGGGCGATAAAGTTATTGTGTTTTTTAACTGTTATAATATCAAAATCATTCTGCTACAAGTAAAGAATATTTCAATATATTCCGTACACGAAAAATGGGAAGAAATTTTAAATAACCTGTTTAATTAGTTTACTTGTTTTATTCAAATATTTTAGAAAAAAAAAAATATTTTTATCTAGACATGATTTCCGCAAGAACCCTACGAATATTGCTAATAGTATTTAAAGAATAAACAGTTTTAAAAATTAATTAAAAATGGAATGAAATGCAACTTTAATTTTTGTAGAAAAAAGTGTAACACATTGTTGAACGCACCAGAAATATAGGGACTCGTAAAAGATAGATGATTTTCTATTAACTGCGACTGACAGATAGATTTCATTCCACAAAAGTTTCATTAAAAATACAGCCGATTTGTGGTCAACCAATTTGAATTCGTTGTGACACGTCAAGGTAAATATTTGAACTAGAAATTCGAATTAGGACTCAATATTTGACAATTTACTTTTATAAAAGAATTAAGCGAATATCAAGCCAAATATTCTAACATGTTTTTTTTTTTGCGAATGAACAACATTATAACAGTTATAAAACATAAATAAATTTATTTTTTAAAATAAAAGAAAGAAATTCCAAAATTGATATTAATGAAATAAAGTTATTTGACTTCTTCTTTTTTCATTTATTATTCTTTTTTCTTTCATTTAAATAAAGCCTATGGTGAGAGTGTGTTTGTCTAAATGTTTTGTTTTTTTCTTTAGTTACAAATATGGTTTGATTAATTGGATAAACATTGCCATAGAGTCCAAAAAGTAGGTATGTAGTAAAATATTGTTTTTTTTAGTATTGTTTCTTTTTCATTTCCATAATATATATTTTGTTATGTTTTCTTCTTCTTCGTCTTTTTATTTATAATTTTCTTCATTTTGTATAGTAATAGTTCGATGCCAAAAATATGTGTTTTTGTTGTTGTTGTTGTTTTAGTATAAAGTTTTAGTTTATAATTCATTCCATGTGCGAATGGAAATTGCTTGGATAGAAGGGGCTGGAAGGGATATACATAGGGGGGAGAGTAATATGAAAACAAAAGTGATTTTCTTTTTCCAAAAATGAAATAAAGCCAAAATTATATTAAATTTTTGTTATGATTTATTTTGAGATTGAGATCTTTTGAAGAGATTTTTGTTTCTTATTGTTGGTAGAATATGTTGTTATAAATATATGTTGTTTTTCTTGTTATCTCTTTAGAGTTGCTTCTTCTCAATATTTGCTCTTTAAGAGAGCAATATTGAGACTTAAATTTCTAAACAAAATCTAATAGTAATTTCATGTCTTCATGTTTATATAAATTGTAGTAGTAGTTTTTTTCCTTTTTTCCATTGGTAGCCAAAAATGTTTCAATTTCTTCTTGATTTCTTTGTAATCGTATTGTTGTTGTTGTTAATGTTTCCGCCGGAATTTTTATTTTAATAGTTATTTTTGTTTCGGAAAAGTTGCAAAATGTTGGTTTCGGGTCGGTTTTGTATGTTGTTTTTGTTTTTGCTGGATTTACTAAAACTATAAGTTTTATTTTGCCTTTATTACTACGTTTGTATGTTTTTGTTTTTCCTTTGCTGTTGTTATATTCTTATTTTTCTTTTGTTTTAAATTTCGATTACGACAATGTTGAACCAACTAATCCTTGTTATCCTTTTTTGTATAGATTGCTGCTGTTGTTTGTTGTTTTAATTCTTAAGAAGAATTTATTGAGATTTTTAAATACAGATTTTTTTTCTTTTCGTTTTTCTTTTTTATTGATTTAAATAAAAAATAGTAGAACTTCCTTGTTGTTATTTAGTAATTAAATAGAAATATATTTAGTTTTGTTGTTGTTGTTGTATTTTTGTAATTATGTTTTAAAATTATGGCAGTCACTTAAAGTCGTTTTGTTGTTCTTGTTGTTGTTAAGTAGGAAAAATAACATTAATATAATAGCAATGATTTCCTTTTAAATTATTAATTAAATTAATGTCAGTTTATGTATAAATATATTTATGTATAATCAATTATAAATACGCTTAAAACAAAAGCTTAAATATTTTTTTTACAAAACCTTGTGAGAAAGTTTGAAATCTAAAACAACAATTATGAATGTAGAATAAAGGAATTGTGATAAAAAGGGAGGAGATTCCTAGGAGCATGCAACTCAGCCCTGCCTTTATTCACATTCACATTACAAAGAATATTTGTTTTAATTTTCCAATTTTTTAAATAGTAGCCGCCAGACATTTTGGAATCAAACCAAACATTGATGTTTCTAACAAATAATCGTGTGCTTAAGACGTTTTTAAAATTTTGATTAGTAAACTTGTTTGGTCTCAAATCCTTAGTTAGATAAGTAAATTTGAAATTTAATCAATTTTTGTGCGAACAATCAATCTAACCGGATTGTAAAGTTACATTTCTTATTTTTTGCGCCGAAAAAATGAAACTTCCTAAAACATTCCTGTACATCACATCTTCAAATTTCAGTTTAAGGTCTACTCAATACAGACATTGCAGTATGTTGGTGTCTAATTTTTATTTAAAAAAAAGATAAAGGCAAATTATAGAATTGTTGTGTAATTTGTGAATGAAAACTAATTGTGACGAGTTCACCAATTACATTTTATTCAATTATCCATTATTGTTGCTATCGTTTTAACCTTTCTCATAGTTGAAACTAAAATTTAAAATTAGATATAACCTAAAATTTTCTAACTTAAAATAAATAATTATAAAATACACAGCTTATTATAAAATAAATATATAATTTAAATAAAGTATTAAATTATATGCTAATCACCACAAGTTACGTTGTTACAAACGTATTGGTTTGTTTAGTTTTTCAATTAATTTGAAGGGAAATAAAAACCACAAAACGGGAAAAGCAAGAGCCCAAGATTCAATTTTTTTTTTTTTTTTTTTTTTAAATCATTGGAAAGAAAGTTTACAACAAAAGGTATGTATATACAAAGAGTTTTTGGTTGATTTTGGGCATACGTTTGAAATTTATATTTTTAAATCAAATTGTGTGTTGATTGATGATGTTGTCCCGTTGTGGTGTTTATAGTATTTGTGGTTGTTGAAGTTGATGTTGTTGCTGTTACCCTATTTATATTCCTGGTAGCCGTATTAGAACCTGAGGAAGCTATGGATGTATTGGATGATGATGTTGATGTAGATGCTGATGCTGATTTTGGGTTTGTTGATTGATGTAAATGTTGTTGAGTGTTGTTGATGTTGTCCTTTGATGAAGTTGAATGTTGATTGTTTTCTCTGCTAATCACCATTCCAGGTCATCGTCGATCATCTGTCCATGTTTATATTAAAGAGTGGCACGCAGACATGTATAGTTTTGTTTTTACGTTTTACATACATACAAATATTATTTAATTAAAGTAAAATAATATTTCAATTTCATAAATAGAAGAAAGGGAGAAATAAGAAAGATACATTACATTATGTATATAGAATTACTTAAATTCTATTTAATATTTAGTAAGCACGGTTCTACAAAATAATTACATTAAAAGAAAAAAAATAGAATAAATAATAAACATTGTAATTATAATTTTTGTTATACTTTTGGAAATAATACAAATATAATTAATATTTATATAAACATTAAAAATAAACATATTTAATTTCCAAATAAATATGACTTAAGATTACATAATGATATACAATTCCTCTATATATATTTATAAATTTCCAGCGTATTTTGTAAATAATTGTTTTAAATATTGATAAGGAGGATTGCTGTATATCTAACTACATTTATGTAAGACTAAAAAATAACTTAAAATAAAACTAAAAAAAAACTTTCATGAAACAAATAACATTTCGAACATGCAAAGATTTGTTCGTTAAAATTTATCTATAAAATTTCATCATTTAATGCATAAATTTGACGACAGTTTTTCAATGGGCATTGATTAAACTCTAATTACGGAAATAATAAAATATCATCATGAAAGAAAAAATCGCAGATTTATATCTTTCTTTAAATCAAAATAGATACTGAATGTCCAGTAATACATGGATATGAAGTTTGTAGTTTAAACCCCCTTGTTCATAAGGTTGATGACCGCCAATCACTACACAATTGTGTAATATAAAAGTAAACAAAATAAAACAACCGCTTAACATTCGCGCCTACAAACAGATAATTGTCTAAATAAAATCATTATCCTCAAACTAACTTGTTAAGAAAACAAAAAAACACAACACATGTAAATGAAAATTATTTAAAAAAAGTCTAATTTTCCTACATAAAAAAGGTAACTAAAACAACTTTTGTATTTTGAATAACTTACCGTGACTTTGTTGCTCTGAATGTTGCACCGTACTGGCTGATAACATTTGTCCAGGCACCAATGCAGCCGTTGATGACGACGTTGAACTAACGGAAGGCGAAGATATTGCTATACTACCAGGTTGTACTGCACCAGCACCGGTGGTGGTACTCTCATCTGAGGTACGCTTAAAGAAATTATGCTGCAGAGCATAGTAGGGCGTTACACGTGTCTTCGGATCGAAGTCCAACATTCGCAGTATTAAGTCTTTGAATTTCAGATAGTCCGCCACCGAATGACCTTGTTCATCCATGCGCCTGCCGCCCGGACCACCCGTCTCTACACCCAATATATCGTGTAATTTCCGAGACCCAGGCGGTTTATATTTTCGGCCATTTTGACTTTTCTTCAATACGTACGAACCATCTGAGACCACCTTATCGAAAAATTTACGAGTCTTGTGCGCTTGATCCAACAGATATTTGGGTGGCATGCCCAACACTTCGACAATTTTATTCATTTGATCGACTTCATTGCAGCCGGAGAACAACGGTTCGCCAGTATGCATTTCCACCAAAATACAACCCAAGGACCACATGTCGATGGCCAAATCATAAGGTATGCCCAGTAAAACTTCCGGCGAACGATAGAAACGAGATTGTATATATTGATATATCTGATGGAGAGAGAGATGAAAAATGTAAATTTTTCGAATGATTAAAGCTACAAATTGTATTTTCTATTGCTTACCCTTTGCCCCAGCTGACATGAACTACCAAAATCAACAATTTTGATGGCTGATCGTTTGGGATTACAAAGTAGTATATTCTCGGGTTTTAGATCACAGTGGATTATATTCAGTTCGGGAGTACTCAAGAAGAGCAAAGCAGTGCATAGCTGTTGAGCAAATTTTCGCGTTAGATTCAATGATACGCCGCGAAAATTTGTATTACGTAATAAATCATACAAATTATAGGATAATAACTCAAATACTAAACATAAATGATTGCGCCACATAAAATGCCTTTTAAGTTTAACTGTAAATTGAAAAGAGAAAATATTAATGGAATTTGCGGTATAGTGATTTTAAGGCATAATTGAGTAACAGACAAAAATCAAAACTGATAACTCTGCAGACGTCTCTCATAACTATGAGCAGCAGAAGGTTTGATAAGCATGAGCTGTCAGTTCCGATTTACCGATACACGGTACACTATCCTGCATTTGTACTTACCAATATAATATTTGTTTTCTGCATCTGCCCGATTCATCATTTCCAATAGTTTAACCTCGATTTGTGCCTGATTTAGGAACGGTTTTTTGTTTTTAATTATTTTTATTGCTACATAACCTTGCTCTTCATGATCATACGCCTTGACCACTTGTCCAAAACTACCCTTGCCTGTAGAGAGAAGATATTTAATTAAAATTTTCTAATAAAACGAATGACTGTCAGTTAAAACTTACCAATCAATGAATCGATTTCATAGCGATCCAAAAATTTCTCACCATGTTTTATTATATAATCGTGATTATCGTCGTCATAACCATCGTTATATAATTTCCGTTCCTTTTTATTTGAGGAATCATCTTCGCCTTGTGTCTGTTGGGCACGTCGTTTCTTTTTTGCATAATAAACCTGTAAAAAGCGGAAAGAAGAGAATGGTTTGGAATTAATTTTTAATAAAAATATAAAATTATAATATTAGGCATTCATGGGAAATGTGCCTCAAGGTATGTAAGATCAAATTGTTTGTATTACAAGGGTTTTTATAAAAACCATAACAAAAATATCTTGTAAAAATAAAATTTTCCAAAAATAATAATAATTTTGACAGAACGTACCTAAGACTGGGTCGTTGTAGCTTTGAACTACATAAAACATTTTATTTGAACTGGGTCGAACTTTAGAAACCCTGCAGTATTCCAATACCAATCCACCAGACGGATTTACCAATCCACAATGAAATACTGATAATAGACCTAAATATTAGAATTTTTTGAAAAAATCATTGCTGAGGAAGCCAAAACAGGACTGGGAATTTAGGGGTTGAAATGGGTTATGAACAACTTAAAGAGACCCTTCTACACAATAAATTTTTGGACTTGAAAGTATATTTTCTTTGTCCAATGATATGGCTTTCAATTTCCATTATAGATTTCAGATAATTCATAATAAAATAACTGGTTTTATCAAAATCGATAATTAGTTCTCAAGACCCTAAAAGATCTATCCTTATACCACAATGCTCTCTCAAATTTGTAACGATATGTAAATAGTAGATAGAGACGACGACAGCATTAGGAGTCTCTATATAAAATGTGGGGGAAATCTACAAATAATAGAAGCAGAACACATTTTTGTTTCCCGAATGAGGATGTTGTTGGGGCAGAGATGATGGTGATGGCATCGAATGTGGCGCTCACTCACGAAAGGTGGTGCTGGTAGTGGTGGCCGTCTATGAAATGTAAACATTACTGAAAGCGCATGTGTCTGCTGGCCATGATGTTGATGATGGGCTGGTTGGGCTGCTGTCAGGCCAAGCGAGGGAATACTGAACGAAGACTACTGACAAAAACCGAAAACCAAAAAGAAGAGAACACAAAAAACGAACAACTGTGTATGAAACAAGAAAACACATGGATAAGTGAAGAAATAACGGCGTCCGGCAGCAATACAAACCCAGAACAAGGCAAATATAATGCAAACATGACAGAATGTTGCATGGCGGTCTGTCTAACTGTCTCCCATACACTTAGCTGCTTTAGCCAGCCAAACACAAAGCAACTGAATTGGTCAAAATAGAAAAATGAAAAAAAAAAAACTAAATGGACATAAACATTGACTGGGCTAACAGATATATGTACGTATGTAGAATTCCCCGCTCCTCACTCCATATGCGACACCGACAGAGTCGTATCAAACAGCCAGACATTCATTCAGTCAGTCAGCTAGGCAGACATTTAGTCAGTAAACGAGTCAGTCGTCGTTGTCTGTTGTCTCTGTATGCTTGTTGTGTTGAGTTTCATAGCCGGCTCCTTCATTCCCTGTTTTCTTGAATACCAACTCTGCTGGTTCTCTTTCCTTCCCCTTCCCATCCCCTCACAAACCGAACCAAACACAGTACTTCTCTTTCCCCACCACAGCCAGCTCCTCTCGCCCATCAACTCAGCCCATAGAAGTATGCAATGAAAAATCAAAAATTGCAAAAAAGTTGTTGCTAACCCGTGGAACATTTAGAATTCTGCTGTACAGAAAGAAGATGTATAAGCACAAAAACAACAACAACAACAGCAGCAACAACAATGCCGCGTCGTCACAGACCAAGGTAGCAGCAACAGACGACGTCGGGCAGCACAACACATCAAGGCAGAGATTGGGTCGCCGACAGAGAGCAGAGAAAACAAGGCCCCAGAAAGAGTTTGCAAAGAAAATGTTTTTACTCACACACAGTTTCGGTACAGAGAGAACTGAAATAGCGCCAATAAATGCAACAACAACAACAAAAATGTAATTTTCAAAAACAAATGTTGATGTTATCCATTTGACATAAATTATTGAATTTTTGACGTTTTGTTATCATGTGTGTGTGTGTTTCATAGTTCCTTGAAAATTATTAAATAACTATATGCCCCCCACCACCATGATGCAAATATGCTGGCCATATTTTATTCCCATCTAGGTATGTATATGGTAACAATATAAGAGTTTCTTGGCCCCAAATAAATGAGTTGCGCCTAAAAGTCTGCAAAGAAGTTACTCAGTAAACGCTTAAAAATGGGTGTATGCCAAATTCTGTTGCGGCAACGTCGATGACTACGTTGCCGTTTACATCTCCTCCACACAAAAACTTTACATGCAACACACACACGCACGCACACAAACTTTATAGCCAAACAAATAAGAGCGCGGCGCACTAACAGATACACCGAGAGACAGACCAGCGACCACCAACGAGCGAGCGAGCGACCTGTGTGGAATGTATGTACTTCTGTGTTCTCTTTCTGGTGTTGTCGTTCTGTAAACGTTAAACTTTTCTCTACCTTTATAGCAGCTGCCAACGAGCCAGTCAGCCAGCCAGCCAACCAGCCATCCACCGAGCGCAAAAGTTTTGCTAGCTCTTCTCAGGGTGTTTGTCATCAATAGAGTCGTTTTTTTTTTGGGGGGGTTTAATGCGGATAAATATTCCGAAAAGTTGCCTCAATGCCATGGCATTGCATTTCTAACATAGTTGGAGCACTACTACCACCACTTTAATATCATCAATAGCCGGCAAAAATAATGTGTCGTTTCTGTCTGGCTGGCTGGCTAGGCTGTCTGGCTGCCTCTGTAATAATTTTGCAAAAGGGTGACTCTTGGAAAGCAATTATCTATTTTTTTTTTTGTATTTTTTTCTTTTTGGTTTTCGGGGAATATTGATGCATCCCTTTATTAATGAACGACCGAACGAAGCATAGACTTAAACACCAATAAAATGTTCATTTTTGGTGCTCCCAACAACTCATGGAGGACATGTTGCTCTCGTCCCTTTACTCGGCGATTCAATCATTTGGGCATGTATGATGTTCGATGGTGTTGGGGGGAGTTCCATGCCAATTTTGTAGAAGTTTGGCTGACTGACTACTGGTAGTTTAACAGACTACTTAGCGCCTGTGACTGCAGCAATCTATTTGGTAAAGTAGAGAAAACGAACGAACGAAATCAAAGGGTCACTTGCCCTAGCTACTACGGTTCTGCATACCACAAGTTGTTCATTAACAAACAATAAGATAAGCATCACAGTGGCAATTGTTGTCACCAGCAGCTACACCTCCCCTCCCCTCATCTTGGCTAGCAGCGTCGTTGGCCCCACACTCTCATAAGCGTTGTCATCAAGTGAATATGGAAATATTCAACAGCGTGTTAATGGTGAATATCCGGTTTTATTGTTGCTGATGCTGCTGTTGTCGTTGTTTTCGTTTTGGTTTCATTCAATTCGGAGAATGAGTGTATATCCTTGGAATATTTAATTTTGTTTTTCACATAAGGAAGTTAAAATAAAGCCTTTCTATGAAAGCAAGTGAAAGTTTTTGGTTTTTTGTTACCAGGAGAATATTTTTTTGAGAGAGAAACACTTTTGGAAGATTGCAAGAATTTAATGATAAATGTGAGTTTCAGCGATTTATATCAGGTGAAAGATAAGCAAGTTCCTAGTCGTCGGTACCCAAAAGTATTTCAATAAATTAAATATTTGACTGAAGAAGCGTTGGTAGTAGATTTGGGGACAGCTAGACTTCATCCATATAAAATACTTGAGAATTGTAATCTTTTTTTCGGGAAATTTGATATATTAACGCCTAGGTATATTCACACACAGTGAATATACCTACACACAGTGAATAAAAAAAATGGCATGACTATTATCATAGACGACGGACGATACACATCAATATCCGTCCATCCACCATTCATCCATCAGTCAGTTTAGAAATAACCTTGACCCACAAATCAGACTAGGGGTAAGGCGGAACAAAGACAATGAACAGACAGAAAAAAAAACAAAAAACATCTATAGAAAATAATAATAAAAAAATAAAACTGCTGCTTTTTTTCCTATTTGAAATTCTGATTAGCCGCCACAGTTCAAATGAATAGCTGCTGAAAAAAGGTCAGTGCAAATGATTTTTGAACAACAATGTCAGCAATTTTTTAAACTGAAGGTATCTGAATGTGTGTTTGATGGTTTGTCACAAAGGCAGGCCAATGGATAGATGGATGAATGGCAATATCACAATAAGGATTGGAGGCAATAATTTATTTTTTATATTCCAATTTTTGTTTGTCTCAGTAGTTGTTCTGGCCAATGTTCTTAGTGGCTGGCTATCTGTTCGACAGTCTGTCTGTTAGCCGCCAGTCTATTCTTGAATAGTGTTTTTTTTTTTTTTTGTTTTGCGCCTAAGCGGCGTCATTTTGTTGTTTTTATTTTGTTTCTTGTCGTGATGGTTTGCTCTGTTAGTTGTTGCTGATGGGGGGATACTTACCTCATTTATATGTTTGTAGGTCTTTATTAAATCCACACTTAATTTTCGTAACGGCGCCGTTGCGGGATCACGAAAATGTGTTGGAATTCGTGCTTGCATGGCGCGCACCTCTGATGAAGAAGTTGGACTAGATCGCTGTATGTTTGTTGGGTGGTAGACGAGGAAAGGCATGGAGAGAAAAAGGAAGAACAAAAAAGAGTTAATTTTGGTTTTAATTTGAAGTTTACATTAAATATTAATAGGTTACATAAATAAATTCGATTAGTATTGAAGTCTAAATTAATAAATTTGCTTATCCCAAGTAAATTGCTACCACTCGTTATATATACAGTGGTGGTCACAGAATTAAAACATTTACTGTGGTAAAAATTGTTTGATCAGCCCTTGATTCGTTTGAAGTATTTTTGAAAATTTTTTAATTCAGAACACTTCGATATACTGCACTTAAGAGATTTAGTGTGAAAATAGAAAATTATTACATGCAATTTTTCCATAAATAACGATTTTTATGAAAATACATCGACTTTGAAGTGGCCATATAATTAAAACATTGTGTGATTTTTTACTTTACTGCATTTTTTTGAAAATATTTTTACAAAAGCTCTTTTATTTAGTTGAATTATGTAAATTAAGCACTGATAGATTCATTTACAGATAAAAATATCTTAAAAAAATCTGTAAAATCGATCAAAATTGCCAAAAATGTGTACAGTACACCTAACATTCAGAAAACACCCTTATTATAGAAAATAAAAGTCCGAATGCACAAGAAATTGCTAGAATTAGTAAAAAACAATTAATAATTCTCAAAATAAATAAATATTTGAAATAAAAACTAAAAAAAATTGAATTTAAAGGAATTCAATTTAATATCGGTACAGAATATATTTTATCAAAAAATATATCAGTCCCAACAGAACGAACATAGATCAACGCCTATGTTGACGAGTAAAGGTTTCTTGCACACAGCAGCATGGTTGATTGTCAACTCTTGACCCTTAAAATCTATTGAACATGACAATATTTTTCCAAAATAATATTTTATTAAGAGAATAACTTCCACTTAATCTATTTTAGTAACAAGGATGGAAAAATTTTACAGTTTGACAAATATTTGAAGACTTTTGTTGAACATCAACCATGCTGCTGTGTGCTAGAAACCTTTTCTCGTCAACATAGGCGTTAATCTCTGTTCGTTCTGTTGTGACTAATATATTTTTTGATAGAATATATTCTGTACTACTCGAACAATCGATTTGATATAATAAATACCGATATCAATCGATATTTTCTCATATACTGCAAAAATATTCCGGTCTTCTTTAGTAAAGGCTATTGAAATTGAATCGCTCCTTTAGGTTAATTCCCATTTTTTTGAGTTTTTATTTCAAATATTTATTTATTTTGAGAATTATTAATTGTTTTTTACTAATTCTAGCAATTTCTGGTGCATTCGGACTTTTATTTTCTATAATAAGGGTGTTTTCTGAATGTTAGGTGTACTGTACACATTTTTGGCAATTTTGATCGATTTTACAGTTTTTTTTTTCAGAAATTTTTATCTGTAAATTATTCTATCAGTGCTTAGTTTACATATTTCAACTAAATTAAAGAGTTTTTGTAAAAATATTTTCAAAAAAAAAAAAAAAAAAAAAAATGCAGTAAAGTAAAAAATCACACAATGTTTTAATTATATGGCCACTTCAAAGTCGATGTATTTTCATAAAAACCGTTATTTATGGAAAAATTGCATGCAATAATTTTCTACAGGGTTTAAAATGCTAACGCCAAAATAGCAAAAACACAGAAAATTGGCGCACTGCTAACTAAATTCATCCTCAAACTATGCAGCACAGCCAAGCACAACTGCAACAAATAGCAATACATTACGAATAATTTTAGCAAGCAAAACTAAAGCTTCTTGATCTTGTCAGCAGCTACAAAATAGCAATGAACAACTACAACATAATTGTCAACGCGACTAACAACCAAAGCTTACAATGAAGACTAAGCACCTTGACTGTGGCTGCTTAGCAAGATTTTTAGCAAACAAAACCCGAGAATTTTTCGAGTTCAGTGTTGCCCATTGAAATTTTATAAATTAACTGAGATAATTAAAAATGGCGATTATGATAATTTCATTTTTTCGAACAAAGACAATTAGTAATACTTGCTAAAGAGTTTAATTTAATATATTATTTAGTTTTTAGTACTATTATTGACAGTTTTAATTGCGATTTGACAAGCTTAAATTAAATAAAAACGCACAAAATGAAATGCCGTTTTTCTAATTCTGCGTTGGCAACACACAAACATAAAAACAACCCTCGGCTGATTATTCGTCGGCAGCGAAATATGAATATGTAGTCGTACTGCCGATTAGTCATAACAAAAAAAGCTCGCATGTGCAATACGTTCTTAGCACGGATGCTACGAACTAAAAAAGCTAGCCGTTTGCTGATTTAGTCATAATGTCAATATTTTTTAGCAGTAGCTCTGTAAGACTAATGCTAATATTTTTTGATGCTGCATTTTAAACCCTGATTTTCTATTTTCACACTAAATCTCTAAAGTGCAGTATATCGAAGTGTTCTGAATTAAAAAATTTTCAAAAATACTTCAAACGAATCGAGGGCTGATCAAAAAATTTTTACAACAGTAAATGTTTTAATTCTGTGACCACCATTGTATATATATATAGAGAATACCTCTACTCGTACATGTGGTATATGATAAAACAAAATTGGAATTATTTGGAAAATTCAACAGTCAAATAACATTCTGAACTATATCATTCCACTACTTAAGATGGGTTGCTTTCTTGGTACCAATATGTATGAAGTTATTCGTTCCTTTTTCACATTATCGTCCTGAATAATCATTTTTTCTGCAAAGATCCTTAGCTGAATTTACTTTTTGTATTGAATGACTTAGCTGAATTGAGTATTTCTAGTAATGAATTGGTATTTGCGTAAGAAACCGTAAAATGATTTCACATTATCCCTTTGCTGAATATAGATTTTCTATAAAAAAGGAAGTCACTTATTCAAGTTTTTCAATTGAAATGTTAACTTTGTTGAGTTTTCTAACTAAATTGAGTTTTTCTATAGAAAACGCTTGGTGAATTGTGTTTTCAAGTATATGTAGTCTTGGTTTTGAGTTTTCTACGGGAAAGCTGAGCTGAATTGACTTTATCTATTGAATAAGTTAGCTGAATTGGGGTTATGCATGAAAAAACTTAGCAAAAATTATTTGTTTGTTGTTTGTTGTTTTTATAAAAAAAGGTATGGAATTGTTTGTAAATGTCTTGTTAACCTCGAAGTGAGGCTCCAGCGAAATTCTCATACAGTTTATGTCGCTGGTCAGCTAAGTACTTCGCTTTGTTACAAGAGACATTTGGGTATGAACGGTTTTTTGTATAGAAGCTAGAAAACTAAGGGAACTGATGAAGATCAGTGGCGTGATCCGAAACTATAGTCTTCCCTGCCTTACCCCTCGGCAAACAATGCCATACATTCCCCACTAATAAATAGTTGTTTTTTTTTATAAAAACAACAAACTGGGATTCAGCCTGACTATTTTGCAAAAACAAAATACAAATGGTATCCCAAATAAACCGCCAACACTACCAAAAATTATTTTTTCCATACAAAAACCTTGCTTAGTTTGATATTTTCGAATTAAAAAATGTAATACATTGTCATAGGCTTCTGCTAAATTTGAATTTTCTGCAGAAAATGGCCAGCTGTTTTTCTATACCTAAATTGCATTTTTCTATTTTGTAACATAGCTGAATTTGATTTTTCTATAAAACAGAGTTTACGGAATTGAGTTTTTCTAAAGAAAAAATAGCTGAATTGATTTTGCCAATAGAAAAAGTTAGCTGAATGAAGTTATTATATAGTAAAAAGTCGTCCAATCCACTTTTTCCATATTAAAAGTTTCCTGAATTGAGTTTTTCCTTAAAACACGTAGCTGAATTGAGTTTTTTATTTTATTTTATTTATTTATTTTTTTTTTTTGAAAAACTTTGCTGAATTGAGTTTTTTTAATTAAAAACTCTGCTGAAATGAGTTTTTTCTATTAAAAATCTCAGCAGCATTTAATTTTAATATGGAAAAACTTCTTAAAATTGGCTTCTTCCTAGAATAACCTTGCTGAATTAGGTATTTACATAAAAGCACCTTGCTGAATTAAGATATTCTATTGAAAAACTGGCGATCAGCATATATTATTGTGGGATCATATAATCGAAAATATGTCAAAATGACTGTTCGAGTATATACTTACATGATGCATAACTTCGCGATGTGTTGCAGGAAGCTCTTCTTCACCAACAAAACGGCCGTATAGGGGAGCATGTCGCTGGCGACCTCCACCACTACCGGCTTCGACAGCAGCTGCCGCGCTGGATACATAAGCTGCAGATACTGGAAGAAAGGAAGAAAAGAGATATTGATATTAAAACACCTAATACTGTTTTCTTAAATAAGTATTTGTAATTAAAATAAAACTGTATGATTCCAACAGTTTTGGAATCAGTGTATTACGAAAAATAAATAATTCAGATTCTGGTCTGGAATAAGCAAATATGATTGGGAGCTAATACATAAATCCTGCTTGAGATTTTAGGTAATATTTTGGACATTTATTTTTCACTTATATTCGAATCATTTTTTTGAATTTCCACCACCTCCCTATGCTGTTACAAACATTGAGAATCCTACTAAATTGGAATTCTTAACAATTATATTGATTTTATCATTTGAATACTTTTTTTCGTTCATCCTTTGCATCATATTTTGATTTTTGGCACCTTGGCCAAAATGTTAAGTACCTCCGAGCAATAACCAAAAGAAACTCTTTGTATAAGATTTTGCTTTTTTTCTTGTTCCATTGCTGCCATCAGCGTCATCATCAAATTGCCAGCATAGATTTCTAGCTATAATGACAAAATGCTGAAAAGGAAACAACAACCGGAACATTAAAAGGCACTGAATATGTCGTTGTCGCCGTCGTCGCCACCGCCGCCACATGGCAGCATCAGATGAAAATAAGCCAAAATCAAATGTAAATTACCAACAATTTCACCTAAATTCTACGGATGCCAAAAAGTCTCGATTTCTTCGGTAATAGTGGGGATAGACAAATAAATGACAGGTTTCTTGTGCATTTATCTTGGCGAAAAATTGTTGGTCGCATTACATGTTTGTTGTTGTTTCTGTTTTTTTTTCTCTTATTTGGTTGAAAAGGAAGCAGCAACGGACGAAGGGAAGCTATGAAATTATTGCACAATATTTAAAGGGGGGATAATAGTGAAATAATAACAATGAGAAAAAAGAAACATTATACAATGCTAAATTCTTTAGGGAGAAGCTTCAAAGATTAATATTTCGAAATAACTTTTGTTTATTATGTATATTGTATCTATTTGTATTGTATATTTCTCACTCCATATCTTTGCCATGAAAATTGGCATTTCATCTCCCTCTCTTCACAAAAATAGGTTTATAAATCGAAGAAAATTATGTCTCGAAATCAACAAAATAACTATGAAAAAATAGATTAAATTGTAAAAATGGTTTGGACCAAAATTATTATTAAGAGTAGAGGACGAGTCCACTTCGTTTCAATATTTTTGGGAACTAAAAAATTGTCAACAAAAAATGGCAATATTTCTTCACATTTGAGCCACACTGTATGTGGATGCCTTGTGAGGTGGCAAGATGTGATGACCATCATCATGCAAACTAAGATTTAAAAATAAAAAAAAGAAAAAAAAAACACCTACAATTTCGAAGCAGCTGATGACTGCGAGCTATTTCATGATCTACCAGTAATCGCTCATCGATAGTTTGCTGCTGCCTTTGATCGTTGTAAACAAGACCTGCATCATCATGATCATAATCAGCAGCATCATTGACAATTTCATGCTGAAAACTGTTATTGGCAACATTATAATGATGATTCTGCGGATATTGATGTCGATCTGTGCTATTGCTTTCAGGGTGATAATAATGATATTCGTCATCATAATGAGGTGGCGGGGATGGTTGTTGGCTATAGTGATGATTAGTGTGGTATACAGCCTCCTGCTGTTCATCATTTCCCGAGCCTATATCACCACCCGATCCGCTACTGTTGCCATTTGTAATAAAACCAATATTTTTTGTAGGATGATGACGCAGCGGCTGCTTCGGCTGCCGATGATGATGCATTTCCCAATCTCCATCTGGCTGAGTGTTGGTGGCATCATCGTCACTGCTCCTCTGTTGACTGTTGGCTAAAAAATGTGAGGATCGTAGTTTATTCAAATTTCTGCTGCTATTTATACGTTGAAATATCGAAGACTGGTGATTAACGCTGCAGTTTTCGTTAACGTTTGTCGCCTTCGGTGGTAGCATTGCTGTTGATGTGGGACTGGTGGTACTATCGGCGGCCATAGCTGCTAATGTTGATGATGATACGGAGGAGTTGGGAACTTCTGCAGTAACAACGCCAGCAGTTGATGCCTGCCAATAGCATAAAGCAGCGGCAGACATAATGATGTTTTACACTGCCCAAACAAATTCTTTTAAATATTTTACACTGTGCTACAAAGATCTTAGAAATGGAAACACCAATAAAATACCTTTGCAATTGAAGGGATTTTCAGATACTGCTCTTGGGTTTAGTTAAAATTTAAAAAAAAAAACTACTCTATCGAAATCGTTTGTAACGACCTATTAATTACGAACAGCATTCAAAACTCCCGCAAAAATGGTGTTATTTACTTGATAACGACAATTGGTTCCTAGGTCGTCGTTATAATTGATTTCGAATCTATTTATTTTTTTATCTGTAGCACAGTGTAATTAATATTAGCTTTCTGTATATTCTTTATGTTTGTTTGTTAAAGAATCTTGAATCCCAATACCACCAACACAATTTCGTTAAATGTTCTGTTTCTTTTTTTTTGCCAAGCAACCAAATAATTTATATATGTTTTTTTTTGTTTTCTTTTTTTTTTTTGGTTTAGCTATTTTTGTCGAATACAGCATAAATAATTTCGAAAAGTATTTTTTTTTTTACAAAATACTTTTGATGGATTTTTTGTTGGCTTGTTGGGGGTTTTCACTAATTTTTTGTTGATGTTGCTGTTGTTTTATAAACTTTTAATTATAAACAATTGTGGTTGGTTAACAACAACACACACGGAGAAACACCATTGCGTACATGGATAATTTGTGTTAATCAGGTCGGATTGTATGGACGGACGGACAGACAACCGCTGTCGTTGGTTATGCTGTTGGGAAACGCGTTCTGGTAAAATTCTTTCCGGGTTGGCACTGAATTGAATTTTATTTTTGTTTATACAAATTTTGATTAAGTAAGCGATTTGTGTACTTGGTTGGATTATGTAGGTGGTTGTTCTTGGTTATTGCACTATATACATATATATGTTGATATATATTTCCACACAAACGCACACACACTTCAATTGAATTTAAATTACTGTATTTTTCGTAAATTATCTTCTGAAATTCTTTGTAAAATTTTCAATATTATATTTCTTTTCACAAACTAATTTTATTCTCGTCTAGGCAAGTTGGGTATTTCTTAATTTTTTTGATTCTTCTCACAAAACCATCCGTTACCGAATTTCAACGAAAACTGCAACACAATGCGAAATCTTTTTAGAAAAACATTTAGCTATTTTTCTACATTTTGAATTGACGATTTCGGCATTTCTCTGAAAATGTTGCTGTGCGCTCGTGGTTGTCTGTGTGTTTGTGTTTTTGGGATTTTCGTTTTTATTTCGAAATTCTCAATTGAAATTTTATTATTTTAGAATACCCAACAAACCAAAATATCACAAAGAAACGGGGAAAAAAGAAAAGAACACACAGGCGAAAGATCAGTCAACGACAATCAGACCAACAAAAAAAACATCATTTCGAAAAGGGGAAGAAGAATCAAATTCACAACATTAAAAGTAGACAAAAAGAATTTCTGTTTTTCTACAAAATTAACTTTGGTGAATAAGCCAGGAGGGAAGAAAAGGTGAAGAATGGGTGGCAAATCACAATACGTAATATTGAAACGAAAAAAAAAACAGACAGATATTCAGTCACAGTGGTTAATGAAATATATGTATATGTTCAATTGACGACGAAGACATGAATCATTGTCCAAACAAATTCTCTAGAAAAATACAGGCCAGATATTTGTTTACTTTGGGGTTATAGAAAATACAGTACATTCCTTCTGAAAAAATAAAGTCCAATATTAAGAAAAACGAATGCTAAATCGACGAAAAATCATTTTAAATTATTCTCTATATTCCTTTTTAAAGAATCAAAAATAATCCTGGTGACAGAATTCAAACAATTCGAATACGAAGCGATTTTAATATTTTGGGCTGTATACACAAATTAGTACTGTACACATTATTTTGCCCTCTTCTCTATATTGAAAAGCTCATAAATTTACCAAAAAATTGAATTTTTAAGATTTTTTAATGTATTAAATCCAACGTGTCCTATATAATTACACGAATATCTGAACCTATTTTAGAAATTTTCTAGGAAGAAGTGGAAAAGGCATCCAGGGCCTATCAATATACCTTATATTTATGGTTCTGGGCGTTTTTTTAATGTTTCCTATATACAAAGATCGACCAGTATTTATAATTTTTCTTACAGAAATATTAAATTACAGACAATTAAAATAAATAAAATATGATTTTTTAAGTGGTTTAAGGCCTTTTTAGGTTCTGATACATATTTAAGAACACAAAGCCACAAACAAAAATAACACAACCTAACAATTTTTAAAACAAATCAAACACAATTTCTTAAATATTTCAATATAAGAAAAAAAAACGGATTTAAACCATTTTCAAAATAAACTACCATCCCAGGAAAAGGAACAATATATGTGTAAAATTTTAAAACTTTTTAGCTCGCCAGACGGACATGGCTAAATCGACATTGAAATTTATTCTGATAAAAAATGTACTTTGTGGTTTCTAAAGATAATATTTCAAAGTGTTGCTTACTGAATAATAGATTTGATATGGAAGCTCCACTTTAAATGGAAATACCTATAGCCACATTTATATCCTCAAGAATACCGAATTGCAAATATTTGAGCTCACCGATATCATCTCTGACGCTATTTGATGTCCACCACAAAGCAATTCCTTCCCACAGGCTGTATGGAAGTGAAAAATTATATTAAGTACTAAATTTTATTACGCAAAATATCCTTCACACTTATTTTGTCATTAAAAATTTGGCGAGGGAAGGGGGAAGAGCAAGCAATCGTACAATACGACGACGAGTACGACAAAGATGACAGCAATTGAATGAGAAAAGCAAACTTTGTTGGTCACTTTTGACAGTTTTATTTCATTTCATTCAAATAAATGTTCGATGTCAATATTTAACAGACGAGAAAACTTTTTCGACCATCACAGACAAATAACATGGGAATACTAGAGTGCTAAGGGAGGTAGGGAGGCACATAAACATAAAACTTTCTAACATTATTAGTTGTAATAAGACGAGTTTTACTAACAAGAAAAAGGGTTAATACAACAATGTATCGGCAGCAATGCTATGCCTTTTTACGCTATCTCCTGTCATTGAAAATGTGTGACGTTGTTTGACACGTCTCTCTAATATCCACCAACATTCACATCCACATCATTTCGAATTCCCACGAATAGAAAGAAAAAAAAAAAATAAAAAAAAAACAAGAACAAAAACTACAAAGAAAGATGTCTATAAGTTTTATGTCTGTCGCCAAGCAAATAAAGGAACGACTAACAATGAATATCTCGCAGATGACAACAACGCACTGCAAGAATACAAGTGGCAAAGAAACAATAACAACAGAAAAAAGTAATGTAAACTATTGCACAATAGTTATTCGGGGTGGTATATTTCATTTAAGAAACAAATTATTTATTTTCAAAAATATATATCGAATGTATCCATCACATGCCACCTATATTGTAAAGGTCCATTTGTAATATTAATAACATTCGGCGTTTCTCAATAAAAAACACAAAATATCAATAATGTGAGGGTGGTCTCACCTCACCTGTCATCAATATCTATTTACCACCACCATACCAACACCCCACCATGTTACACATGACTTTCTTCATTCTTCCGTGTGACCAATAGATGTGCTCTTTGTTTGTATTTTTCACTTTTGGTATTTGTTGATGCTGTTGAAAGGTCCGTTCTTTTTGTAAACGAAATAAAAAACAACAACAGAAAACACCACAAAAAACCAAAGCATTTTTTTCTAGGAACAAAAAGCGAATACATTAATGCCCGCGCCAATCAATGGCTTTGACGTCAAATGACGAATATCGCACACACACAGAGACCATGTGGTAGCCACAAAAACGTAAACTCTTGTAAATATGTACCACTTGTACGTATGCGATTAGTAGCAGTGGTTAGATGGGCACTGCGATTAAAGGCATACAATGTCACTATAATTTTATAAAAAAAAAACAAATATTCTTAAAATATCCCCCAAATGTGAGTTCAATGATGATAGATAGTCTTGGAGACTAAACTTGACATTATCATATGTCTATAACTATTTATTTTTATACATTGCTTGTTTATATGTCATCAACTGTCAGATGATTAACTATGTGTGAGTAAATGGACATTTCAATGAACTTTGCAACCTCTATGATGATGTGGTCAGGGCATTGCTTGATTCTAAAAATACTATTTTTGTTGAAAAAAAAAAAAGTTATTGAAGCGAAGTTCTTGAACCTAATCTATTATATATTAGAGATTCGAAATTCGGTAACATGGATATGATTGACATGTGCCAGGATTTCTATCCTACTAAAAATACGCCTAAGTCCATCCAAAAAGGACTGCTACCTTTATATTGGGGGTATGTCGAAATACGGAATATCACAGAATACCAAACTACAGATATTTTTATAAAAATATTTTTCTCTTAAATTATAATTCATATTTTGGCCAGGGATTAGCATATGGGGCGCAGAGTTCAATATACACGTTCCATATACTAAATAAACAAAATGTTGTTGGCATTTCTGATGGCCAATCTGAAAATTAAATTTGATGCCAAAATAAAGAAATCGAAATTATGCGGCTGTCAAAGTAAAATATTTTTTTGCCAAGAAAAAGTTCAATAATCTGTTTCTGTTTTATTAAGAGGACCCACGAATTCGCAAGAAGTGAAAAACATACGAAAGAAAACAAATACGCATTATTTTTTTATATTGCTGAAATTTGGTTGGATGCTAAGATTCTTTTAACTAATATAAAATAAAATTGAATTTTGTTTGTTTTTAGATTATACCTCAGTTGAATAGTTTGCAATAACATTGTTTCACTGTACATAAATTAAATGCAATAATTTCTTATTTTGGGAGACTGACAATTTCCAAAATTTTGAAAATCAACCATATGTTCAGTTACTAAGCGATGTTTTTTTTTGTCTGAATCAAAAGGAGGGAGGACCGGTTAACGTGCCGGCCTCTAATAAAAAAAAACAGAAAACTTCCCACGCCATAGTTTGCCACACAAATTAGTTGTCTCTATTTTGGAGTCAATTGTAAGTGTTGTTAGCAACCAACCAGCCAACCAAACAATCAAACACCAAAGAAGGCTGACCAACAACAACAAACGAAAACCAAAAACTTTGGATTATTCATAACAAACATGTCGGTGACGAACTCATACCCCACACACCCAACATGCATAGCTGAGATATGCATGTCGAGAATGCAAAGTCCCCTTTTATGTTATCTCCTCTAGTCGATGACCAAAAATAGCCAACCAATTAGCCAGGCGGTGGGTGAGCTATTTAAAGCAAGCGTGACTAGTGACTACGGTTCATTGGCTAGGATATTGTTTGTTGTTGTTGTTTTTTGTCGACAAAGTAAAATAAAATATATTGATCACCCTATTTTGCCAAATTATAATTAGTTAAGCTAATTAAAATTAGAATTCAAAAGAAATTTAAAGGTGGTGGACATTTTTACAAGTCAAAGCACTGATTTGGGTTTTATTTTAGGAATGAGAATTCAAACAGTTTTATGGAATTTGGACTTCGCAATATTTCTTTTTTTGCATTATTATAATAAATCTTCTTTTTCATTATTTATAATAAATGAAGTAAAATAGAAGCACTTACATTTTTGTTTGGCTTTGTCCATTGCGGCGCCGCTTGTATCCTCTAGTCTATACATATAAAGACCGTTCTATTTGTCGTGGTATGCGGGGGAAAGTTGGCTCTGGTTCTGTTGATTCCGAAAAAAATGCCCGTAACACGAACGGGGGTTTCACCAAAATATTTCCCAAGAAACTAGAAGGTGTCGCCGCGCACACTTATAGAACGACGCTGGGGTTCGTTCGTATCAAGATAGAAAAAAACCACAAATTTCTTGGGAAAATCTTTGCCTCCAATGGTGTTTGTTATTTTATTTATGTGTGTACAAACAACAATCTGTCGAGGGCGTTGTTTTTATTGTTGTTATTTTTTTTCAAAAAGGGGAAAACGGAAACACCAATGCACTATTATATTAAATTACGTTGCTATTTTTATTTTTTTGTTGGTATTAATTTCCAAAAGTAGCTAGTATTTGATCTTTTTTGAACACACACTGTGTAATATCTGTTTTTTTTTTCTTTTTTTTTTGGTATTTCAATACCTTTGTAGTTTGAATATGTTTCCTCTATTTTATTTTAACTCTTTAGTTATTACTCTTTTTTGCAACACTTTTCTTGTGGTTAATTTAAAACTTTTTTCACGTTTAATTTTTGTTTTACAAAATTATCTTGTTGTTGTTGTTATAGATGTCAACGTGCATAATGATATTGTTGTTATTGTTGTAGTTGGGTCTTTCAAGACAAGTACTTTGAACATTTTTCACATTCAAAATTAACGCCACGAAATTTAAATGACAACGAAACATTTTACAAAACTTTTTTCTTTGCTGATTTGTTGTTTTCTTTGTTGTTTTAAACGAAAATGTAACACAGCATTCGTTTATTTATTGGTGGTTGTTGTTGTTGTTGTTTTTGTTACTTCTTTGTTGTAAAATATATACAATTGTTATTATTATTGTATTGCAAATATTTTATTATTCACTTATGGCATATTTCATTTATTTCACTTTATATAAAAATGTATGGACAAATTTCCATACTTTTACTTTAGTTTAACTATATGCGGAACCAATATTTAGTTGCGGCTTAAAACTGGAAAATCTGCAAAGAAAAACAAGGGGAAAATGTGTGTTTAGTATGATTATTTTATAATATCATTATGTGTATACAATTTATTAGGTAATTTTATAAAATTCTGAAGCAAAAATGCCTAAAATTCTCGGAATTAAATAAAAAAAAATCTGAAAAAAAAATTTAAAATTCTGAAGCAAAAATTCCTAAAATTGTCGGAATTAAAAAAAAAAATACTAACATAAATTCTCTTCCTGTTGACGTATATCAAAAAACAATTCTAATTGCTTTAAATTAGGACCTGACTAGCCCTGGCCACAATAAAATCTTGCTGTAAGACATTTGACAGGAATGTCCTTCGAATAGTGTGAACCAATCATCAATTCACACAGTTTTGGGTTAGCAACTTCTATGACTAATGTTTCTCTGCTACAACCAGCCTTAGTCATTAACATTATTCCCCATGCAAGTAAAGCAATTGCAAGCTATGAAGAGACAGCAAATTTTGTGCATGGCAACAACGAAATACCCCAACATTAGGTAGTAGCAAAGTCAGACAATCCGAAAAAAAAATTAATAATGTAAATTTATTTATTTTAAGCAATTTTAATATCGGGGTTTCAGGCATTTCATTTATTCCGCGGACAACGCTCTCAAAAGAATAAGTTTACCAAAGTAAAACAATTCCGAGGGAGCGATTTTAATTTATGAAACACAGTAAAGACTTTACGCAAATCCTACTGCAGATATGCTGTCATTAGAAGATTTTCATAAATATGCTGCTAATTGAAAATAATAACTGACCCTAACACACATCTCTGCTGACATTCTGAAATGATCGATATCTGATTAAATGACCATTTGACATCAAACGATCATCATAATATGACAAATATTGTAAAAACATAAATATGTTAGCTATCGTATTTTGTTTTTATTTTGTATTAAGTTACAAATGGTAAATACGAAACAAAATTTATTTAGCCAAACACTTTCTCTCGGCTAAAACCGACAAAAACAAAACAATGCGAAAGAAAGCCAAAAGAAAATTTAGAGAGAAAAAAAAAAAACAAATATTAATCACGCCAAGGTGGTAAAAAATAGGTAACAGCAGCAAAAACACACACACGCTTAACATAAAGCTGTCACGCGCCCTCACAACAACAACAAAAAATGTTGTAGACAACGACACAAACTGACTGTTTTGTTGATCTAGAAATATTTGCCATTTTTCGCATATTATTTGATTTAAATAAAATGTAGGGATTCGCCACGAAATCCATTTTTTACTTCAGTTCTAGTAAAAATGAGGGGAGATATAGTCATCTTACGTTTTGCTACACATAGCATCTCTGACTACACCAACATCGACTTAAATATGAAAATGTTCAAAAATTGAATTAAAACAGGTAGTGAGTTTTATATAATCTTGAATCATAACAATTAAAACAAAAATAAATATTAATGCATTAATTTAATAATGTAACAGTAGAAACATTATTAAATTTATATATGTTTACAAACATATATGCCTAAAATGATATGAAGCCGCTTTAGTTATGACGATGGTGGGAGCATTCCGGTTAGCGGAGCCCCTATAAACACTACTTCCCATCATTCATCAACAACAACAACAACGTCAGTTTTGCTTGCTTTAGCTACAGCTGAGCGCGTACTTTGATCAAGTCAACACACATGTATTTATGTACGAATGTATGTAATTATATACAGGTCTCTATACATATGGAGACAAGTAGTAAAAACCCTGTGTATTGTTGTTGTTATTTTTTAGTTTTGCTACTGCTGCTGTTGTTGTCGTAGGAAAATACGTCATATTCTGACCTAAATACTCAAGAAAATATTAGCGTTTTTATTGTTTTTTTTCTTCGTTCAGTTTTTTATTGTCATTGCCGACAAAAGCAACAATAAGAACAATTTTTTGTTTCCATATATAAAAATTATATAAAATATGACAATTAATTATCAAAAAAAAATTTAAAATAAAATAAAAAACATTTATTGAAAAAAAAAGGAATGAAAATCGAAATAAAAAAATAAAAAGAAATTCACAAGTGAAAAATGCAATTTCTGCAAAAGCAATTTCTAAAACGATCGTCGTGTTCGTTTCCCGGGGGATTTACATATGCAACTTTTCTAAGCAACTCTGCTGAGTTCTTATGAGAGAGCATGTGTAAACCCCGAGATTCAGAAAAACCAAGTGCCATGTTTCAACTTATTGCAAAATATTGAATATATTTAATTGAATTGAAAAGATTTTTTTATAAAATATCAAGATCGAATAAATATAGAATTTTTTTTATTAAAACTTTCCTAATTACGACCACAATAATTACAAACAAATGAAGCGTGCTATGTGATCCCGTAGTGAGGATATGACTACAAAAAATGCAACTAAAACAGAAAATGAAACCGAAGTTGTATCGTTTCGGCATGCACAATATTCCAGATGATAAAGATGTTGTTGAGTTCTGTTGCTGACCGGCTAGCCAGCTGTTTATTTGTCTGTCTGCGATGCCTGATGTTTGCCGACACACTGCTGTTACTGCCAACAAGGTGCTGACTAAAGTGAAACTTTTTTTATTGCACTCTGCTCTCAACTACACCCATCATCCTCATCATCGGCCATGCAGTCACCCAGTCAGTCAGTCAGTTAGTCAGAGAGTCGTTTCATGTTACTTTTATGGGAAGTAGCGCAGTCTGGAAGTGTGCTTGTGTGTTGCTCAGTGTCGGACTGCGTGCGTAGAATGTATGTCCGTATGACTCCACCTAACCGTTGCTAAGGCTTAAATTTTTGGACAGGTGCATTTTTTTTGGATGTAATAACACTGCGCTGGTATATCTGCCAAACACCAACCAAAACAATTCCTAATTTTTGAAAGAAAAAAATGTTGTCACCTGTTCAATGGAATAAAACACGAGATTCCAGAAAAAATATTCTATTTCTCAAAATATATAATCCGATTGATTGAAAGTGGAAAATGTTTACCAAATTAAAGAATTTCAATGTCTGTTGGAACATTACCCATTGTCGTGTGTAATATGTCTTCCAATTTTTCTAATTTTATTTGTTAACAACATGTATGACGTCAAAAACTGAAATGGAATATCCGTTTATATTAAAATTTTGCCTTTGCATTATATTGAATAACCCGTATATGACTTCCATACTCAATGAAAACGAATCGATCAATGGATTGAATTGGACTGGAATTGTTTGGACTACTGACCTTTGCAAATGACTTATTTACACATTTCTTTTCTAAATATTTACAATACAAGCTAATTTCACAGCCACAGCCACAACAGAAACAACAACAAATTCAATGTTTTACAATATTTCCATATTCTTTGTTTTGGTGTAAAAATTCTGTTATTGATATCTTTATGTTCAGATTGTTTATATTACGAGCAGCATTTTCAAGTGCGCAAATTACTTTGAATCCAAAACAAAAACGAAGGAAATAGAATAGAAAGAATGAAATTTGCAAATGAAAGTAATCAGTCAACCAACTGCAAAGAAATTAAACAAAGCGTCATAGAAGATAGTCTCATTCCTCCCTCGCCGACAAACAAACATACAAATAGCCATCCATCCAGGGAGGCAGGCAGGCAATACAAACAAACATTACAATCCGCATCGAACTGGTGCGCATTCAATTATTCAGCAGAAATGTGGCGTTCACTCGACTCGCTCGTCTTGTTGCACAAATTGTGAAATAAAAATAGATCCCCGAGCAAGTGGGTGTGAGTGCGGTGGTGTAGAGGGAATGGTCATATTTTTTCCGTCATTTTTTTTTATTTTTGTAAATTGAACGCCCACGTCATCACCTGCATTATCATCATCACCAGCACTTCTGCCCTTTACTATCTTCTGTAACTGGCGCCTAGGCGTCACGTGTTAAGCTGCTACAAAAATATGTCGGAATGTTTGTTGATAACCGAGGGAGAGAGCGCATCTTTCGAAACCATTACCACAAAACGCCTATCTGATTTTTGTTTTACGACAGAGACGATAACAATGATAA